GATTGATGAGGCAGAAGGTGGCCATGTCATTTTACTAGTAATTTTGGTGGCCAGGTGCATACACTTGTTCTGTGGGGTAATCTACGTGGAAGGAAATTTTGGTAATCTACAATTAGCATCACTCTCTATTATAACTACCCGTCATATCTTTGAGAAATTGCCTGCTCCTTATGTCTTTATATAAAATATGACATCTACCTCAACTTGAAAATCACACAGGGTAAATCATTGATTCATCCCCCCTTGAACGTCAATTACGAGATAACCTAGAGGTCTTATAAATCCAGTCCAGAAACAGCGCATCGACAACGTCAACATTCCACCTAGGCCCATCCCCAAAACAAACACAGTTCTCGGCGAGCTTGCATTTCATGGCCTCAAGTGAATCTTGCAATGAAAGGCTGCCTTCTCCTTTTGCAGCTGTCTCCAAAATTGCAAATGAGTCGTTTCCGATCATGCTCTTTACGCGCCCTTCAATCCCCACTGCGGATAACCATTGATTTGGGTCTATTCCTCGAGCATGATAATCTGCATCGATTCGATTACGTATCAGATTGGGTAAGTCTCGTTCTGCAGCCGGTGCATATTGAGCGCTAATTGAACCCGTGCGCCTGTACTCCTGTCTCGCTTCGACCATTGCGTAAATGTATGTAATGGTCCAGTTCTCTGTTGCTGTCGAATGGTCGAGTGCCCTTTGAATGAGAGAGGCAGTGGTCTCTGTGTGACTACGTGTACATTTCTTCTGAGCGTGGTCCATAATGGACCAAAAGAGGATTCCCGCGAAAGTCTTGGACCCGGGGCCAAGATATGGGATGATATCGTCAGGTGGTATACTAATAACCCGCATATAGTGTTGATGGTCTAGCCATATACCGCATGTAAGTCTTTGCGGTGGAGGTAACGATGCCAGTGATGAGCTGGGGCTGAAGCCAGAGTTTTCTTTATGACTTGCTCTTTGGATAATATCCCTTGATGTACCTGTAACAATTATGTCTTCCTCGCCATCGACGGTAGACGTAAGGAATTGTTTGTTTCTGGTGACATTGACATCTTTGGGAATAGGTTGGACGGTGATACCTTGCGTAGGCTTTTTAGCATCAACACCCGCAGCCTCTGCCACGTCGAATATCGTATTGAGTAACTCTGGGTGCTCATCACCACGTGTGATATTAACTAATTTCTCAATCGCGTTCTTGAGCCGGCGATTTTGATTTCGTATGTGCTGATTAGCCTCAGCTTGACGTTTTCGGAAGTTAGCTTGAGACCGCCGGCCCCGTTCACGTCGACGCTATGGTCAGGTTAGGGGTAGCGCAGACGACCAGGGGGGATGAATATGTGCTTACGCGAAGAGAATCTTCAACATCCGTTGCCGTCTCCACTTGGTGGTGATCAGAAGCTGCCAGCATCTTGAACGATTTACACGAGATTGTAATTTGTTGTTCCGACAGTTATGTGATCGTAAGGTTGAAGACTCCGAACCATTTGGCGGATTTGTCAGGTCAGAGTTATTAGTTCAGTTGAAAAGGGATTACGTTGGCGGCTTGGCGCGGCGCGATTCCATCCGATCACGTAACCGCTGACAGCGAACGGCTGAAGGGTCGGACATACACACTTGTGAGGATCCCGAGAGTTATGTGAACGGAGCATATTGACATAAATATGGAGCTGTATTATCATCATGTTGCCGCTGAAGGCAAACTGCCATATGTAGCAAAATCGTATATAAGATGACAGTTCTTGGACGTAAAGTAAGTATTATGCCACTCGACAAAGAGTTCAACAATTCTAAACAAACAGCAGCACGCATCAACAAATTGATTAAATCAGTATCCAAGAAACCTCATAAGCTATAAGTCAAAATGGTCAAAGTCGTAATTGCATCGGCTTCAAGCGGTAAGCGGCCGGCGTTGAGATGTTCCAACGTGTTCTTAAGTTGAATTCGCTTCTGAGCTGACTGGATACTTTAGCGCTGGCAAGAGAGGTCATCGATGCGCTGGTGGCTACTAAAAAGCATGATATAATTGCGCTGGTCCGAAAGGTGATAGTTTAAATACCCCTTTCCTCCTTTCCTCCCGGAATTCGAAGCTCTAACACATTAGCCCAGGATCCTGCCCAATTCCCTCCCCTTCCCGGCGTCGAATGGGTGAAGACAGCTTACGACGACAAGTCGGAATTGGTCCGCCTATTTAAGGGAGTGGAATCTGTCATTTGCTTCTTAGGTGTCCACCTAGACAAAGATAATGCTACTCAGAAACTGCTTATCGATGCTTCTATTGAGGCTGGTGTTAGGCGGTACGCTCCGTCGGAATGGGCAACGTAAGCAGACTGACTCCTATTATTTCAAACGCGGTATGATATGTTTAGCAACACGTCTACTAAAGATAAAAAACAGGGGTGTCAAATTAGAGTCTTCACTCGATGCCCTTTCGTGGTACACCGGCAAGATCGAGATCAGTCGTTATTTGGAGAAGCTCAACAAGGAGAAGAAGGTATTGCCTCCCTTGTATTACTATCCAGGTGATAATTACTGCTAATGTATCTCCTAAGGTCATTGAGTACACTCGATTCCAAGTTGGTACGTTTACGAACTACCTCGGCCATCCACATAAAACAACAAATCATGTTCACACGGTTCCATTCCTATACGACTTTGAGAGTCAGCACGCTGTGGCGATCGAAGGATCGCTTGACGATGCCATAGTATGGACCACAGTCCAAGACATCGCGGGCGTAGTTGCTCGAGCCGTAGAGTATAAGGGTGAATGGCCAGCCATCGGCGGCATTAGTGGAACCAGGGCTACTATCGGCGAGTTACTACAACTAGCTGAGGTTATTGGTATGTATCTATGAATACTAAATAGTAGTAGAACTACTTAAATGAAACCAACGCTAACATTCCTTGTAGGGAGACCGTTGAAGGTAGATTGGGTCAAGAAAGAAGATCTCGAAGCTGAAATAAGAAACGTCGGCGACATTTTTCTTCCGGACCTTCGCACCGCCACGCCGGAACAGGTTGGTGCATTCTTGCAAGCCGTGCCCACAAGAGTCTTGACTGCCATCACCCGTGGTGCTTATGATGTTACGGATGAATGGAACAAGTTGTTACCGGACTATAAGTTTACTCAACTCGAGGATTTCCTCAAGAGTGTATGGGGTGGGAAATAAGGACCAACCTGGATTAAGCAAATGTCTCTCGTGAAGGGTACGACATGCTTATATCATGGTTGGGATTTGGCGAATCACAACATCTCTTAAAGTTATTTTCGAAAGTATTAGATAAATTGACTATTGTTGGACTGAATTACCTGTAATGGAATAGAAGATTTATTTACTTTAGAAATGAGTGAATGAAAACTCAGGTTCTTAACTTATCTAGTTAGTGTCAGTATTACTGGGTTAGGGATTCAGGGGTTAATAGATCGTATGGATAAATCTTTTGTTTCTCTTTGTGTTTATTAATATTCTCTCGAATATGATCTAGGAGGTAAGGGTATTGAAAACGAAGAGACTAGAGTCGTTTAGCGAGCTTCAGCAAGGGATGCATAACGGCCATCCATCGTGTTGGGGTCCTTCAACGTTACACTAGCCTAACAAAGCAAACTGAACATATTTCTTCACAACACATATCCCGATTGTATGGTCAAGGTTCGTATCATAGTCCCATACGCCAAATAGAAATCGGGTTTGGCGAAGTCCGGCATTCCAAGCCTAACGCTTTTGTTCTATATAGGTCTAGGTACCTACCTGGTAATCATACATAGTACACTCCAATTTGCTAAACATAGTCCCTTTCCATATGGAAACCAAGCAATATCAGATGCAAAAATGCAGAAGACAACAATAACAACGACACAACGACGATAGAAGCAATGTCAGAGCCGAAGATGAATGTGGCAACAGAGCAAGGCAACACCATTGACCTTGAAGTAGTTCCAACTCCGTCAAAAGAGGGCCCGTTGGCATGGACGCAGGTTATGGGAGCGTTCATATTGAGCCTCAATACGTGGGGCCTGATGAATTCGTACGGAACGTTTCAAGCCTTCTACCAACTAGACATGCTAAACGATAACTCGCCGTTGAGTATCACCTGGATCGGGCTTACTTCAAATATAAACAAGACCATTCGAGTAACCTATTTTCGTATGAGCCATCGTTCTAAAGCTGGCTGGGCCTATCCCTGGAACCCTAGTCCCAACGCAATAATCTGCACACCTTGGGTCTCGCGCGCTTGATTAATCATTCTGGTTATTTTTGGTCTTGACCTTCGTACGACTGACTAACAGTGGGGAGTGCCAAGCTATTAGAAATACGGCGTCATCACTTGCAATATAATGACCTTGTGATTAATCGAGTTATGCTATTTTCATGTGATGAGTGTGAATGCTTACTGATGGCTTAGGTATGCAATAGATGGTTTTTATGACCTAGCTATGTTCCTAACGTCCTAGGTATCTAATGTGAAGGATATGAAATTTGGAATTTCTTTGCTTTGATATAGGGGTGGCTTGTTTTATTATACCTCTGGGACCGGCATATCACGCATAGGGTTTTGGACTCACTTGAGAGCAAGATTATTTACTTCGCATAAGAATAATGAACTGCTAGTATCGTTCCTATACCTCGAAATACTGCCTCCGTTGTTGGTGCTCTTGGTATCCCGGGAACATGGTGGCATAAAATTCCGTCCATCCACCCATCCGAACACGTAGGAGGTTATACTTCTCCGAATCCTCCGAAGCTCTCTGATAAGTCTCGAGATCGGCACAAGTCAGAGTGAGCAGATTCCCTCCAACCTTACCTTGTGCGAAATCTGCCAGGAACTGCTGCAGCTGGTCCTGGGGGAAGTCCTCCGGAATGTTCATATCCACCGGTGCCGCGTTCGATAACCCAATCTGCATGGCCTCCCCTGTGTAGCTCTCCATCGCGCGGTATATGTTTCGATGCACCGGCGCCGCGGGAAGGTCCTATCCCAGGTTCGCGAGTTAGTAATTACTTCATCTGGCATCAACGCGGATTGTCTCGGGAGCAGACAAAGAGGTGAACAAAGGAGATGAAGAACCAAGTTGACGTCTTGGGAGTAAAATACCCCTAGACTAGGCTCGAAAGAGAAGAAAACAACTCTGGAAGCTTACCTGCGCGGCTGGGACGGGCGACATGTCCGACGCGATGGGCATGCCCTTTCGGCGACCGTCCGCCGACGCGCCGCAGGCGATGCCGTCGCCGATGTAACCCTCGAAGGTTCCGACGCCGGGCGTCACCACAAACTCGAACTCGGGGCCGTATCTCTCGTAGATCCTGTCTAGCGCGCCCCGGAGGGCCGGCGCCGCCGTTGGCTCGCGTATGGTATCCACGCACAGGCGTACCAAATTATCAACGAGCCACGTCCCTAGCTCCCGGAGCTCCTCATCCCCGTCCCCGCTCGCCCACTTGGGCAAGTCCAGCGCCGCCCCTCGCAACTCCTGATACCGCACAGCCATCTCGGCGGCGTTGGCGGGGCCCAGGCTGGTGTCCTGGTATGGCTCGATCATGTCAAAGCCCCAGTCGCAGATGAGGCATCTCACCAGTTCCGGAAGCGTGGCGCGCGCGGACGCCCGGTCGAAGCACAGCTTCTTGATAGCGTATAGGGAGTCGATCGTGTTGGCTACGCCTATGCACAGTGGGGCAACTATTTACGAACATGTGAGGTCAGGTTGGTACTTGGATAGGATGATGATGGGCGGAAAGGGTCTGTGCCTTGTGATGGCGGCAAAGCGCTTGCGTAAACTCCAACGAACTAGCCCCTGTCGGTTTTGACAAAATACCTAGTGATATAAACATCTAGCGAGCTAAAACGATTCTAGAAGTGAAGGATCGATAGGCTAGCTGGAGATGAAAGAGTAATAGGGTTTGGGACGTGTAATAATCTATGGTTAATCGATTCATTGCTCTGGGTATGATCGCCCCCACAAGAAAGAAAGAAAGAAAGGGGGGGAAAAAAGAGAGAGGAAAATACACACTGATATGAAATTTTGCGCCACCGGACGTTAGATCGCGCCCCGACTCGACGCAGCCGTCGAGAAGCGCGGAGAGCATGGGCGATGGGCATATATCGGCGAGGTTGCCGTAGGCGTTGAGCAGGGTGCTGTAGTTCTGGATGACGAGCCAGGAGAGGTGACGAAGGAAGATTTCTTGGAGTTCCAAGAAGGAAGTGATCTCTGACGCAGGACGGGAGCGAAACGTCTGCTTCAGACCGCGGAGATACACCGGTCCTGCGGCGCCGTAGGTAGAGCCCTGATTGAGGGTCTGCTCTAGCGCCAACATAGGGGCGACGTTGCCGAACGTGAATTCCGACGCCCCCGTCAGCATGGGCTCATAGCACCCGTCCGCTGCATAGTTGCGGGACCAGGCACGGGTAATGGTCTTACCCGACTGGAAAAGCCCTTCACACAGCCTGTCGTCGTTGTAGAGAACAGGGTGTGCGCCGCCGGCCAGGATCGACTTGGCCGCTTCGTGAAGAATTTCTTCAGGTATGTCCTTATACACACGCAACGAGAGGCTGGGAGCGTTGACGGGGATGCGGCGTGCCGCCTTGATGCACAGGAGAGTGACAGGGTTGGCACCGCCCTCTGGAGATTCAGCATTCGTGGCCGTGTACCCGCCCACGGTGATCTGCTGTACCCACTGGTTGATGCCACCGCCCTGGGGGAAGTTTCCGCCGAGGCCGCACACAGACGTGGTGCCGTAGGTTCTGTAGTCGTAGATAAACGCACGGTTGACGAAGGCGTTCTCGCCGATTTTGATCCAGAGGCAGTCTATTATCTCCTGGGCACGCTCATGCGAGATGCTGCCTGCCTGGATATCTCGCTCGAGGAAGGGCCAGAGGATCTGGTCGAGTCGACCAAAGGATGTGAGCTCCCCAACAAGATGAAGACAGCAGTGGAAAGAGAAGATCAACTGGACCGCCTCGTGGAAGCTTGTGGGTGCGTCATTCACGAGGCGTTCCAGGCAGCTGATGACTGTTTGCATGTTCTTTTTGTCGTCCGCTTCAGTGGCCCGATCATGCGCCTGACGAGCAATCTTTGCCCAGTTCATGAGGTAGTTTTGAACACCTCTGATCGAATCTCTCGCGGAGATATAGAAAGATGCCTTGGCATCGTCCTTCTGCTTTTGGGCTTCTTCCCTCCGTTGGTCAAGATCTGCGATCATTGTTGCTAGCCCGTTATCGACCAGGGTTTGATAGTTGGGCACGACGTGTCCCATAGCCGACCACTCATTCAGTTCACCCTTCAGCCATGCGGCAATGGTTTCATCCTCATCTAGATAAGGGACAACCTCTTTTCCCCTTCCCAGCGTGAAGTCAGGGATCGCGCCGACGATCAACTCCTTGGCCGCGATGCGAGTCAAACCGGTTTCCCGCGCGATCTTGGAGTCTGGTGAGGAAAGAAGATAGGATAGCGTTCGAAGATTAGCAAGGCCCTTGCGCTCAAGAGTCGACTGTGGAATCGTCTTCTTGGGAAGCAGCTCTTTCAAGTGCGGCAAGCGTGGGAAATGCTGGCGGGTCATCCAGCCGTCTCGCCAGTGAGAGAACGTTCTCGACATGAGGCTCAAGATGCGGACACTGGGACGATCACCTCCAATGAATGTCTCCTGCGTCATATGATGCATATAATCTTGCGAGTTAAAGAAAAGGTAAGGATTGGGACTGCGAACGTCCCAGTGTGGATCTTCATACACATCGTCTCTAATCCTAACGCCGGTGATTTTCAGCTCGGTCGCTGACGGAACATACCAGTAGCTGCCGCCAATACCCTGAACGAAATCCATCAAACGATCGAGAGGTCTCTCCGGACGATCGCCGATCATGTTCTGCAGAATGTTCTCGAACCGCTGCTGGTCGTTGCAGAAGGCCACGAACATGATGCCCTCTTCGCGACTAGCCTGTCCCCTGGACTCTTCGAATGGCAGAGCTTGGCGCAGCAGTTTCCTCTGGTCGAGGTTTTCGTCTAGGACGTGCGCGCGGTGAATATGGGCGTTGCCGGCGTGCTGGGAGATTACCTCACCTTCCGGCCTCCGCCCAATCACGGCGTCTAAGGCGTCGCCAGATTGTGAGGAGATATCAGGCCAGTCGAAGAGAAACTTCTGCGTGATGCCGAAAGTGGCACCGCGGTAAGGGTCAGAACCAGGAATCAGAATGTCTTCGATTAAGCTGATAGGGTCATTAGGGTTGCTGATGTGGTCGAGGTAACGGCCACCCATGATTCGGCCATCGGGGCGTCTGCCCACTTCGAGAGCCTGGATATCTATGACAAGTCGCTCTAACGATGGGAGGATGGACGCTGCGAGCATCGTTGCAGTCTCGTGGTCGGGAGACTTGATATAGAGCAAGACATCCCCGCCAGTATTGGCGAAATTGATACCACGATCGAGGACTGTGGTAGAGATGACGATGCTCCGGTCCGTCCACTGACCCCAGAGCGCCGGAGAAAAGGCGGCAATTAAACCGCAGTCGTTGGTATGGTTCTTTATGATATCCTCGTCTAGGTTTTGGATGATCTGAATAAGTGCTTTCTGCGTTTGGCTATCTTGATCCTTGAGGAAGATGGTCAATATTTGACCGAATACGGGTCGCATGAGAAGACCGCGCTGAGCAGCGCGGAGTGTTGGGTTGAGTTTTGTTTCCATGGTGTCCTATACTAATGTACGTCTAGAATGCCACTGACGTTAGAGCAACAAGCCGGGTTGGGGAAGGTATATCTAGAAAGCTCATAGAATATATCCTTCAAACTACGCTCCTTATATCCAAGTCCGGGAGGTACTCGGCTGGCCATAACGAAAGCTATATAGTTTCATTTTCAGTCACTTTGTAGCACCATAATAGCATCGCTTGGAGTAACACTAAGACATGTGCTGTAGGGTACTATGCGCCACCCCTTTTTTAGCATACCGCCTGTCCTCAATTCTTGTTTATCTCAGTTTCTCAGACTCGAATTTATTGATTGGTAAGCTGCGGCCGCCGGCGCCTCAAATGCCACACAACGCTTGGCCTGTGTCATTATATCTGGAAGATACACAACGGGTCAAAGGCTTAGCGTTAAAACATATTTTATTTCCAATATTTCTGGTCGTTGGTGATCGTCCAGAACCAGGAGCTCTCAAGCGTCACTCTAAGTGAACTCTCCGAATTCGAGATGGCTTCCACACGGGAGGGTATAACAGCCGGATCCAGAGACGTTGACACTCTTACCAATCAGTTGCCCCACCGGTCGAGACGGGTAAGTCGCCCGAAGAAGCTTTTTAGTACACTGTAAGGCAGCGTTGATGCAGGTTAGATTAGGTAATTTAAGGAACCCGAGCTTCCTCGATGTCGAGTCTTCCGATCCAGGTGAAGGGGTCATGCGGTTGTGTAGCGTACTGCATAGGTAAGTAATATCTTGATATTCACTAATGAATTTAACTTCCAAGGTGGTTATTCAGACCTGAGTAGTGGACATGAGTCTCCAAGTGTCCTTCTGTTTCACCAGTCTCGAAAGCTTACTCTGCTCCGGTCCCCTCCCTCACCCCGCCCCCAGGCGTCGCCGAGTCAGGCGGTTCTGTAGCCGTCCGGCCGCCTCACGCACGTTAGTGTAAGACGTTTCACAACATATTTTCTTAAGTTGAATATTCTCGGATCGGAATCGACGAAAAAGCGCTGGCTAGAAGCGATCCCTCGCATATCTAGGTTGGTAAATATGCACCTAATATGCGCCGGCCCATCTATCGAGTCAACATAGACATCCGGCAGTAAGCAGGCTTGACAAATAGTGTTCCGACAGACATCAGTCACGAGAACCTCGCATCCGATGTATATACCATTATCCAACCGGTGGATGTTCGATTCTCTATGGGAGTTATGTAAGTTGATCAAGTGGTTTCTGTATGACATAAACGTAATATACCGGTAACCTAGCCTCTATTTTATTCTGCTCGTGCGCCTTATTCTGCTTGAATAAGCGGTATTTGTGTCCAACGTCTCCAGAAGCTCCTAGATTATTAGCGAATAAGGTCAAAGTTTCCCTATAGTGATTCTGTTCAACTGAGTTCTGTTTGCCCTTTGACTTACTTATTACATAACGTTGAACAGCCCCAGATGGAATTGGGCATGGCCTCTAGTAATCCCTAAGTCCTATGTAAAACCTGCGGGCAACATTTCTAGACATGTAAAGCTATGGTCCTCGTACATTATTAAGCCTCACATATAGTATGTTTTGGAATATTTTCTCTAAACTGGACCTCTTGGACTATACTTCAGGCTAAATCAATTGCTGACTGCCAACTTCTAAAGTAAGAGTTAGATAATTGTATCTTAGTAAATATAGATAGCATAGCGAATATATGTATGTTCAAATATCGTATTCACATATCACTCTCATGTATCGTCTAATTGGATATTGGCCTGCCCTATTGGTGAAGTATGATGTGGAAGCCAGGAGATGTTCCGGTATAAATATTCCTCAGGGGCTGTGGTACAGTAACTTGGACCTTGATGCCGAGTGTCGCGTTAGTAAAACCAGCATCATTAATGTCCAGTACTCCGTTTGATCCCACTGGGGGTTCGAGAGCCTTAAGTGAAACATTTGCTTGGAACATTGTAGACTCCCGATACAAAACCCACTGGAACTCTAAATGGCTATTATCCGTAGGGTTGTCCGGGTCCAGCGTCAGTCCTGCATCGAACGTATATGTTTCATTACTCTTGACTTGGACGATCAGTGGATCCGGGCCTTGTTGGCCATTGATATTTAAGACGGGCGGATGCCCAACTTTTGAGAAGTTCGAAGTGAGAGTCCATTGCATTCGAGCCGCAAAATCATCTTGGTAAGCCGTTCTCCAGCGCCAGATAGATGCTTGTGGCGTTGAATACTCTTGTCCGTCAAGGCCAATCGTATTTCTACGGAATCGACAAAATGGTTTGTATCAATCCCACCCGCCCAATCAACTAGAGCTAGGGACCGACTATATCTTCCACCCCAACTACCCCAGTAGATGCGATCACGGTAACCAAGGCCGTTCTGTATTAGCAACAGGAAACTGGGAGTATCACCTTCCATGCCGAATACAACTTGCGGGTATAGGGAACCCAGGGGCCCAAGACGGATATTGGCGTCTAACCAAGGGTTTTGTACAAGAGTGATGAGTTTACACAAGGACACCCAGCGAGGGATATCCTAGTCCAGGTTGCCAGTGAATACCTACCATAGCGGGGCTGCATGGGTTCGTGGAACGCTTCCAACTTAGATAATTATGCCATGTATAATAATCATTGGATTCAGACCCAATCGTTCCAACATTGTGGAATGATTCCAAAATGTGGAATGGTCTCGTAAAATAGAACGATTCTGCTATTCACGTGACTTTCACGTGATTTTCACGTGAAAAAGTGGGGTGAAAGTCAAAAAATTTAAAAAAAGTGAAAAGACTGGTCCTCGAACCCACAGCTCCCGCGTTTGTGTAACCATAAACCCCACAATAAGGTTTAAAGTTTAAACGTTTGAGCTAATGGGACGAGGTGGCCAATCTCATCAAATTATTTCAGAATGGAAATTCATTCGATTTTAGCCCTTATAGCCTTTACTTTTGAAAAGGTAAAATTTTAACTTAGAAAAAAAAAAGTAAAAAAATTTTTTTTTTTCGAAATTTTTATAAAAATATCATGCGGAATGATTACAAATTGTGGAACGCTACCTACATTTGCGGAACGATTCCACATGCGATTTTAAAATAAACCTTGCTTACATAAGAAACGCCCCACTAATATCCGAATCCAGCCAATCAGAGGCCTTAGATCCGCGGAACGTTCCACCCCCACCAACCGTTCCGACATTGTCAAATCATTCCACGAACCCACATTTTGCCGCTATGGTAAGCATTCCATGCATAAATAGATACGACATAAAATATGTCTAGAAAATGAGCTCGGATCCAAGGACCCGTATCGTCTTGGTCTGATATCGTATATAGTCTGATTCGCGACCTTAACTCGCCGGCGTCTGAAGAGGACATGGTGTTGTTGATATGAAGTAACGCCTGAGCGAGTGTATTTGTTCCCCCCACCCCGCAATAAAAAGGGGCTCTTGGGATTCTTGTAAGGCGAGGATGATGCGCTTGGCACCCTCGCTCAAAGGCTCGTGCAATGCCGCCCTCCCATATGTCTAAGTATACATGAATTAGTATACATTCATTTTTATTTGCCGATTGAGGCTAAGGAGCCTTACGGATAGTCCTAAAGTAACCAGCGATAGTAGCTTTTCGGCGCTATCATATGGTGAATTTGGATTGACATGTTGGTTCAAGTTTTCCACAACTTCTCCATAAGCATTGATTATTTTGTTCATCTCCTCGGGGTGAGTCTCGTTTTGGAGCCACCAGCCCGATTTCAGTAGTAACCGTTCTTCTGAACTTGCGGTAGCGGGGGGTATACGTCTCCAGTTTCTGTGCCCATTTTGGAGACGGAGTGTTCGAATTTCGCGCAATAGTTTGGCCGATATAAGCAACCTCCTCTTAAGAAAGGTTCCGCGAGGAAGGTGTTCATTTTCATAGTCGCTATTGCCAGCGACCTGGCTCTGAAGCTTTTTTGATCTCGTGCCTGGAGTGAAAATAATGCGTCCGAAATACTCTATTCTAACACCTAATAGAGGGATATTCAAGACTGTCCTAGCGTGCGAGTCGTCGACGCTGGCTACAGCGGTTGCTGCGTTGGCGGTCACATAGACACTCCTTATCTCTCCGTCTGCGATGGCTGGCCAATCTGCCAGGGGCCGACTACGACGACACAGATGACAACGCCTCTTTGCTGTCCTACCTTTGTGAACGATTGCCCTAGTTACACGAAGGTAATCGCAAGAATTAGCGGAAATCTCCAGGTAATCACCACAAGCTTCGGCACGACACTTGATAGCCAGGCCATACCAACTATCACAAGCTCCGGGGAGGCGGCGTCAAAGACTTTAGAGGGTGCTGCAGCGGATTCAGTCCCTCGAATGGGATTAGTAGGTGGCGGTATTTTAGCTGCAGCAGCAGCAGCTTTAATCTAAGTTAACGGCTAGATATATGTCTTGGTTTTTGTATTTAATACTATGGAAGCAAGGGGCGAGAAGGGACTGGATTATTTAATTAAGAACAGCAAGAGAGTTTACTTATACGATCATCACATAGCCCAAACACGGCTGGTCGACTAGGAGTGTCGAAGAAGATGCCGAAAAGAGTATTTGACAAGGGGCCTGATTGGATCGATGCAATAATTGGCTTTTCGAAATTCTAGAAACTCTGTATAGCTTAGGTACCTGGCTGTTGTTAGTTTAATCGCGGAATTTAGCTTATATATAAGTAGGCACCTATAGATTATATGGCCATTTTCAAAAGTCATTGTTTTCCCCTTGTTATTACGCCTGGCGTAAGGTACCTACCTATTATGTTAATATGAGAATAATATTGGTAACTACCTTGGAATTTAAGAGGTATTGGAAGTTTGCGTTGGATGATAATGTCGTAGCGGGGGTGATAAGCCACTAATGGTGCGCTAAATTGCATATTGCATATTGCATAAAACCCCATATTACGCTAAAATGTTGAAAGTTAGCACGGACGGTGTTGCCATTAATCTTGGTTTAAAGTTGAAAAGGTGAATCATTCATCTTCTTTGCTCATAACATCCTGTCATGAAACTTACTAAATCAAAGAGATAATAAAAGTTGGTCACAACTAATTGATCCGTGTGTTGTTGACCTGGTCTCCCCGTTATTTCCAGGGGTAACCATTGCGCTGGAGACTACAGAGAGAAAGAGATGGAACAACGTGGCAGTTAATGTCTTAAAAGAACACCTCACATTCTCATAGGTAACCACACAACTAACCGAGAATCAGAGCTCGACAATCACTTAGACAACTACCTTAGGTAGGTAATCACTACCAACCTAAATATTCTGGAATGGGTAAACCCATTTAGTCAATTAATGTTTCCTTTGCATATATTTATTTTCCATGTCTTTGAACAACCACCGCATCTTATGCACTTTACAAAACCCTTTGGTTCTATCATATTGACACGGATGCGATTCCTCCTAGCTAATGTTGGACTACTTGACTTCCAACTATGGATTCAGACGAGCAAGCATCTCATGAAGGAGTCTCATCAAACTCCAAAACAAAGATGAACGAAGGAGATACTCAAAGTATTAGCGTTTCGTCCGAGATCAAATCGATATCCATCTCTAGCTCTCACGACTCTTCGGGCGATATAGATGGTGTTGAGGAGCATCGTAACATGATGCTTGCCAGTCTACTCGAAGATTATATCCGTACCCGCGCTGCCGAGTATCTCAACGCTACTAATCCGGGACAGAACTATACGAGGCAGTCCCCAGAGATCCAGCCTCTTGCTCGGCAACTGTTTGCGGACGCAAGCCGAACACTATCATCCAATGGAGTGATATCCGACTTGGCGATATCTGATGCCGTGAGAAATTCTCGTCGCCAATACCTGTCAGCCTTAGATAATCTGGTTGCTGGCTCTCAAGTACCGACCTCTCACCTCCCTAACGCGATGCGAGACTTAGTCCTTGGAACGTCCCAACTTACCCTTATGCCGCATCCATCTAATGACTTGAAACTGACTCTCCAGCCACCCCCAGTACGAAGTCACTATCAATCTTCCTTCCAAGAAGGCGCTCTTTTAGGGAAAGGTGGCTTCGGAAAAGTATATAAGTGTTTTAACCCCTTGGATCGAGGAACATATGCTGTAAAGAAGATCCAGCTATCCCCGAGACTCGGGAGAAGGTTTCGCGATGGGAGACTTGAAGAACTTCAACATATTCTACGTGAAGTACAAGCTTTGGCCGCGCTAGATCACCCTAACATCGTGCGATATCATGCTACCTGGCTTGAGGAGCCTCACCAACCACAGCCAGTCGAAATCACACATGGTACGTGGTTACTTTAGTCTGTTTAGCTATTATTTACCCTATGAATCATGCATACCGTCCGCACGGTTGAACTCTAGTTTAACATAACGATGATCGCTAACTTACAGTGTTAGATTCTAGCACGAGAGCCGACGTAGGTCAAAGGCAACAATTGTTATTAGATCACCGGCCATTCTCTCACGATGAAGGGGACAGAGCAGAGCTGTCAGTAAGTGGTGGGGTTGTTTTTGCAGAAGACACTCCATCTTGCCGTGACAGCAAAGCCAACGACCAATTGGTTAACGACCGGCAGTGGTTCGAACAGCGCACCTCTAGTAATGCTGCTATCGAGAGTCTTTCCCTGTCAAATACTAGCGATATATTTACAGACGGGAAAAGTAAGCCATCAAACTCAAATGAAGAGAAGGAGACTTTTGATGCAGTCGGACACATCTTATACATACAAATGTCGCTATACCCAATGACACTAGCTCAGTATATATCTCTTTCGTCAGGCGGAAGTAACGCCGTAAGACATTGCTTTCATCTTGTTCCTAGTCTTAGGCTCCTTCATGCCATACACGCTGGGCTACAGTACATCCACACTAAAGGGTTTATACACCGGGACATTAAGCCAGGCAACATCTTTCTCTCGTTGCCCGACACTGAGCCACGAGGCGGATACTGTAGCCTTGCATGCAATTCCTGTCGAGCGAAGGCCGAAAATTTGCCTCCGCAATGGCTTAATCCGCGTATTGGCGATTTCGGGCTAGTGACCCAGCTCGCGCGCGAGGGGTTGCCCCCATCATATGCAAGCGACGACGGCTCGACAACGTCAGATAGTCCTGTGGGTACTACCTACTACCGACCCCCACCCTCTAAAGATGCCGACAATGAGAAAGTCGACATCTTCGCCCTGGGTATTGTGTTCATCGAGACGATGTGCCCTTGTACCACAGCCATGGAACGAGCTGATATGCTCAAGGGACTGCAGATGGGCTATGTACCGAAGAGTCTTGAGCAAGGGTTAAAAAACGAGGGATACCCCCCCGAAGTTATCGACGACGTAGTTTTGCTAGCGGAGGCAATGGTTTGCCCTGACTCTAAGGCTAGATGGTCTAGCCAGCAAGTGGACGAGGCGATCGAAAGGGTTCTACGTAGATGCGAAAGCTCATATCTGTGACTTCCCCAAACCAAAAATCGCTAGTAGCTTGTATACTAGAGGTACTTACTTGGACGGGTCGAGGCTATGATCTTCTACCTTGTTATCATGGTGAGGCTCGGAATTTTCGTCACCTATGTAATATACGATCCATCTCATGTAAATAATAGGGGCGCGATTACGTTCACCCAAATATCACTTTTTAATCACTGCTTGTAATCAGAAGGATTAGCAAGACAAGATGCTTCGGAACAGTGTGAAAATATCTATAACTTATTATATCTAAAGATAACTTGGAGATTCTTGCTCACTTAGTAGACTTATACCAATATTATATGGGAGATAAGTTTGAATACGACGCAGCCACTAGGACGAAGAGTAGATCCGCTCTTCACGGCCGTACTCAAACGAATATGGATTTTTAAATAGATTATATCAACGGCTTGAACTGCAGGTAAAGCATTAGACGGTAAGTATTAAGTTTCTTCGTATGGATATAGCGTTGATGGGTTGAAGTCTGCTCAACTCGATATTATATTGACTTAGGTACCTCTCTACGTTTCTATTAGGAATAAAGATTGGTTTGCAGTTTCTATATCAATTATCCGTTATTGTACGGTCCTTAAATTCTGGAGATAAAGGTTTATTCTGTTGGGCGACTTTTTGCTGAAGAGAAATATATAAGGTAGGTAGGTAATATAGTTTCTATCGTCTTCTGTAATACAGATGGATTTCATTCATTCATTTTAAACTAGTTCTTCACAATAGTATGTCCATAGGTAGAGAATGTGTTATAGATATCCTACGACAATGTACCTATGCGGGTTGTTAAATTATAGTAGGATTCAGGATTGTTTGGAATATGGTCATATAGAAACGTGAACTTCAAAATTGATAGCGTACCGTAGTGTAGTTCCGGTTAATGACGGAGTGTGGAAAGCTATCCGGAGTTGACTGTGGCTGTGCTCGTGTTGCTCTCGGGATGTGGAGCCAATAATTCAAGCGGCACCTCGTTTACGCAGTACTATGTACATCCCATTGAAAATCTTAGCGCCTTGGTAGGGGTCCAGGTGGAGGCTATTACTGCGGGATTACGTACCTAGACGTTGATACCGTTAATAGTGCCGTTAATACCTACAAACGGGAGGTACCTAATGTCAAATCTGCCTTAGGCCTTAGGTGTGTACACTACGGCAGCAGGGCGGATCGCAATGTCTGGATGTGCAGTACATGTACGAGCTAACCTAAGGTACCGAGGTGCAGTACCTGTATCTTTTGGATCTTTAGGCGCCGAATTATTTTAGATCAAACATCCTTACTAGGTATTTTCTTCATCATTACATCTTCCTCTTCCTCTTCACCTTCGCCTTTGCCTTCGCAGTCTTGTCGCGACGAGCTCGACTCTTTTCTACCGTACATATTTGAACCTATTGAACCTATTGAACCTATTGTAGCATCCAATATCGAGCATCGATCGTTATACAATCCCTGTACCTATACAGGCCCCCCTCTTATACCCTTTCCCTCTCTGCCTGTATTCAATTTATTCAATTTACGATAGCGATTCGCCTATTCACCTTTTCGCCTGCCCGCATCGGGCCAGATATCGATCCGCCTGCTAATTTCGTGATACCTCTTTCACACCTAACTACGTCAACAAGGTTTCCCCAACACCTGTCGACTTTCACCTTAGAGCGCATTGAATATCTCGCCTGTTTGCGTCGCTATCGATTGCATTAGATTTATTCTCGTGTGCTCCGTATTCTTTTTATCCCCTACCGAATCCGAACCCGATATCCCGACTCCCATTTATCCTAGATGTCGCAATAGATTATAAGATATTCTTCGATTTGCTACCATGAATGAAGGGTCGTACAATAATGTCGTCCGGAGCAATAGCCCGTTCTCCCCAATGTGAGTTCATGCTTCCGTTGCAAATACTCAGGATATATATTAGGACCGATCTAGTCTATTCGTTACATGTACTAACACCTATGTTACGCACACAGGACACCTTCTACTCCCAATACATACAAGGCGAATGTGAACCGAACGAAGACAAGAAAATGGGTGGAGGCAAAGGTTCAAAGCTACGACGGTGATGATTGGGGTAACGAATACGAGGACGAATATGGCGAACCCGAACCAGAACCCGAGCCTGCACCTAGGGTCGCTGCGTTACGACAACAAGCGAACTCCCAGCAACCAAGAACATTCTCTCAATCTTCGACCGGCATAGTTAATTCGTCGAATAGACCCGGCCCTTTTGGGGCAAGAGGCCCTAGCGGCCCGCCATCTTTACATATACAGACTGGAGCGGATTTAGGATCTCGCCCAGTCGACACTACTACGTTTGCGTCGGATCAAGGCTCAGCATCGTCTCGCCTTCCCCTTCGTGATGGGAGTAGGAGCCGAGAAGGAGCTCCTCTTAGTGAAATTAATGCCCCTGGGTCAGGTTCTCGGCCGGGATCTATATCAACCCAACTATGGACCCAAAGAGCCGCATCTCCCACAAAATCCTCGAATTTGGTTAGACCTTCAGACCTTTATAATCGGGCGGATGAAGATAAGGAGAAAAAAGGTAAACCTATGGAGTCGGGCGGGCTTAGTATAGAAGGTAGTTATGGTCGAGGCAGTGCAGTTGAAAGTGAGGGAGAACGTACAAATCAGCGGCGGCTTTCTCCCAGTCCAAAATTGCCGGACCTAGCACGTTTGTCTGGGTTCGGCGACGACTTTTTCTCGACCCCTGGAAATTATAACCCTCGGGCTCGTTCGACTTTATCGACAATTACGGACACTCAGCGGACGGATGGAGCAAGGGATGCACCTGGCCCGTTAACTGGGCCAGATAGCAAACGGCGCGACACTGCTGGAATCACTGATGGAAAGAATCCCTCAGGCGTCTTGGTGGGACCGAAGCTTGAACCAAATCCCCAAATCATTATGCCGCCAGTGGATGCTGATTTAGAACCGAATAAGAGCAACACCGTCAATACATCCCACCAATCTACCGTGCTTAGACCCCAACTTCCTGGGACTTGGGTGTCCGAAACTATCAGCGTCGACTCCGGACATCCAACGCCCACAGAAAAGGTCGAGGGGCCCGGCCCGGCCTCCTTGGGCAGCATCGCAAATACTAGCGTGCCTCCAATGAGCATAGGACACGCGGAACCTGCTGACCTCGAACCAACCACTGCTATTCGACGGCTGCCGACAAAATATGACGACCCAGACGCGACGACGGAAAATAAATCCATGCGTACGTCTGAGAACGAGTTCAATAATGCTACCGGAAAACATGATGATATCGTAGCTTCAAAAGTAATTGCCGCTGGACCCGGTTATCATCCAACGCCTCGGTCTCTTCCGCCTCTGAAGACAGATAATCACCTCGCTTCACCTAATACTGCCTCACCAGACAAGCGCGAAGCGTCCGGAGTAGCTAACATGGGACTACCGGCATTACAATACAGTGACTCTCCGCGCCAGCCGCCCTCGGCTCGGCAGAGTGCAACCGCCAGCTCAGGTTTCACTCCTACAGCGCCGTTAAACCCACGCCGGTCCATCATTGCTCCAACAGAGTTTGCAACACCTACAATACAGGAACGAAAATCCACTATGAGCACTGTTCATACCGCGTCTCCTGAAAAGGAGAGCGATAAGCTAAGAGAAGAGATAATCAAATCTCTAAGCGCAAGTCCGGCCACTACGCCTGACGCAAGCACTATCCTAGGCGCGTCTAACACTGCCTTTGATCCAACGCAAGGTAGTCCAACCCGGGAGAGTACATATTTATCTGATGTCTACGATGATTACTTAGCACCAGTGGAAGATAAGTCTCTTCAAGAGACAGGTTTACTTCTTAAGCAGGGATCGAAGGTAGCGAATTATGGAATTGATGACACTGGGACGGAGCCTGAGCTCGAACGAGACCTACAGGAGGGAAGCACGTTTCCGGGTATCGCTCCTTTGAGCCCACGTAGAAGCCCAGAACAAGGCACTGCACGTCCACAAAAACGGTTCTCGTGGGAGAATGATCCAAAGAAGGGCGTGCCTAGTTCTGCTGGGGGGACTCCGAGTGTGCTAACCACCCCCAGTGAACCGACCAAGAGTAATCAGATCGAATATCAACATCCCCTAACGACAGAGCTGGGTTCGGGTGCTACTCCTTCAAACGCTCTACAAATCCGAACAGAGAGCCGTGCCACCATATCTCATCAAGTTTCTGATGTTAGCAGCCGTGCCCCTGGAGATCTGTCGATAACAGGGCTTGATTCACCCTCTCCTGTTTCGCTGGTGACGGATAATGGCCCTAGAACTCAATCTGCAGCTCCTGAAACATCGCGTTTATCCTTCGCAGATGAGAAAGAGCAAGTCCTAATTCAATCATCATCAAACACGTCGTCGTCCGAACAACATCCTGCTCTAGCCCAGCCAATCGAGCTTATTTCCGAACCATCACCTGCCCTTCAACCAGCCCCAATAGCCCAACCGTCTTCGCAAGGGAAGATCATGGCGTTTAGAGATATCCTCAATATTGTATCAATCGAACAGAGAATCCAGAAATTTGATGAAACACGAGCTCAGTTTTATTCGATGGATTCCGGCTTGTCGAACTGGATTATGCACATGCAGAGCCAGCCGGAGCATGGAATAGCCTCAACGACGTCGACAGGTGGGCGAATGTCTCCTTCTGGCGTCCAGTCTCAAGCCGAACAACCATACTATCAACAATACTTAAATGCTAGTAACCCTGATGCACCGGTACAACGTGGCAGGGCTGCGAGTGGCAATTTGCAACAGATGTTAACGGGACAATCTATGAGCAACTTTGGCTCATCTGGTGCTCAGGTTGGGACAAAGAGTAAGGAACTCTTACAGGCCGCAGGGGCGTTTGGCAATAAGGGTGTGAAGTCGGGCATGAAATTATTCAACAAAGGCAAGAACAAACTTCGCGGAACGGGGGATAAGGGCTTTTTTCAATAGCATTACCCCTATCTTCATCATGTTTACCTTTCTAGTAGGAAGGTCGTATGAAAACAACGGCATTGCGTTGCAGCATTTCGTCTAACAAAGATATGGTGGAAGCTGTGATCGGAGAAGATTCTTATGCGATAGGCAGAGGCAATGTTTCCCTGTCGTTCATATACTCAAGTCTGGGCTTTTCATACGTATTGTACTAATTCATCTTGTGGGGATACGCGTTTCTCAATCGGGTTGAGCAAAGGAATTCAGGCGGCGGTGTGTAGGCTGTACGATTTACTGGGAGACCGGGGGCATATATTTGATCGAAGGATGGAGGTAATTCGATCTAAGATGCCATAATACTAAAATGATTTCTATTACTCGCCTCATCTAGCAATGCCATGACAAGTCCTTTCTTATATAGAGCTATCCAATCGAATGGATTAGATATTAGGCATTATGTGTTATTTTGTGGCGTGCCCGCGCGGTTGCGTAACGTGTCTTGGATATTCGTCTCGAGTAATCCGTCGGTAAGGTAATTTCGCCTATCAAGGAACTAAGGCGTATGAGGATCAATATAGTCGCACAATAGATATGTTATCCGTATTCGGTGACAGCATGTTTACCTCTAGGTGCCCAAGTATCTTCCAGGTGTCTGCTCACAGTATGTACGTCAATAAAACACTCGATATGTTGCTATTTTATGTTACTGTCATCCCCGCTTGCCGCTCCGTGTTCATTCCGCTTGTTTAGCGCTACTACCTTACCACATACGCGGAGACTTGACGTGCTGCCACGAGGAAAGGAAGAGAAAAGGTAGGGGTAGCAATACATAGAATTTATGTCTCTTCTATAAGACAGACTTGTCGAATATATTATTTTTAGCAAAAGCAAATCACAATTACTATCATCACTATGGATTATCAACATCATCAGCGGCGAGACATTACTATTAACCGCAAAGCTTGATGGTTTTAAAGGAAAGAAACTAGGAGAATAGTACCTGTGATCCATGAAATCTACCTGTAAGTAAGTAGTAATATTACTAGCATATCTGAAGCTTAACCAAGTTCAACGTGATGTTGACTGCATTCGCACGTGTGGACAGGGGAGGCGATCCTTCTCCCTACCAAGTTATGTAGATATTATCATTGTTGATATAAGTTTTTTGATTGGTTGAAAGAGAAGCAATAAGAGATATTCAGCTTAACACAGCCACCAAAGCCGCGGACCAGCAGCAGAAACATTCTCCACACTTATAGGACTTATTATTATTATTACGCCCCCAACCTGAAAAGTTCACTTATTAGAGTAGAGGCAAAAAATGCCTTCCTTCGAGCCCCCAAATAGTGCCACCACCATCGTCTTCATCACCATCACCACCACCGGGGATCTTGGCTCGTGCTCCCTATTTTTAAGCTCGTAGCCCTATGAGAAGCCACTTAGACAAGGAGCTAAGCCGAGTCCAGCCCAAATAAGCCCCGAGAACCCATAGAAAAAAGCCTTATGTAGAGGCAACAAAAAAAGGGTCGTACCGTGGTGTTGTGGTATCTATCATAAGATACACTTACACGGGTAGAACCTGACTTAACTGGGTTAACTGGGTCAACTGGGTCAAGAAAAGCTCCCCAGCCTGCCCACCTTGCCCAGCTCCAGGTACCAGCAGACCAGTAATAAAAAATCGGATCCCACCAATCCACCATCACCCCCAGTCCCCGTTCCATCCGCCGTCTAGCTCCATCCCAGCCCTTTCAGGTCCAGGGCATCCTAGCAATTTCAATTCTAGATTTCGCTACTTCGTTAAGGGACGCGAACACGTTCGTCTCTCACCGTCGCTTCTGTTCTATTGCTCCATTGCTCCATTGCTCCAACTCCACCCTTCCTCCCAACATCCTCTCCCTATCGTCGTCATCGTCGACGTCGGACGCTCGCTTCGCTTTTTCCGAACTTTGGGTTGCTCACCGTAATTATTTATATTTAAGATCGATTGTATCTTTACCTTATGAGATACTTCCCTACCCTTGTCGTTTGCGTCTTCTACTCCGTTTAGGTAGTCGTCCATTTCGCAAACACACGGCCATACTCCCTCGTCTAGAATTCGCATCTGGATATCTTCGTGGCGACGTATATCCCCTTAATATTAATCAATTCCACGTGGGTACGCCTGTCAGTTACCGAACTGTTAATTTGATATCCTGCCACATTTGTCCATATTCGTCGACTAGGATTGCGCTCTTAGAGGAAGGGATATTTTAAAAAATACGACAAGCTGCTAGGAGGCCGACTGCATTGCAGCGGGCTCTGCATTCAGCACCCGGATCAAGCGCTGTTTAAAATAATGTTGCGCATTTAATTTACCAATAGCAAGATTAAATAAGTACACCGAAGTGACATCTCGGGGATTATTATATCGATTTCTTACCAATCCGATCGATTGCTCGCGTCAGACTATGACCGCTCTCATGGCCGCTGACAGGCCATATTCGCCAGGTCTCGGCGACTCCAACCCTTCAGGGAAAAAACAATCTTCTGGTTTCACCCCATTGCCGCCCATTCGTCGCACATCAACATTCGACTTGTTATCGAGAAAGAAGCTTGTTGGAGAAGAAGACGACGGGACTCCATCTCCAGTTGGATCTTCAGATAATGAAATTCCTCCACTGCCTCCCATGAAGGACGGCATCAATTATCAAAACGGTAATGGGCATATACCCGACCGGGGACAAGGCGGCCAGGCCACCGGCCAATTAAGTCAACCCCAGACCTTCGCCCAACCTCCGCCTCAGCATCACCCCGCGTTCGGCAACGGCTTTGGCCCAGCTCCTAATGGATTTGCAGCTGGCGGAGGTATTGGTCAACCTAACGGGTTTCAACAGCAGGGACATATGGGAGGTCCTGTAGGTCCTCATCAATTTAGTCAGATACCCGGACAGTCTAGTGCATTACCTATGAATTCGGGTCATCCTTTTGCCTCACAGATGGAAGGTAACCCTATTCAAAAATTCCCTCCTGGTGGTCAATGGAAGCTGGAGGAGTCCCGCCTTACAGAACCTCTTATCCAACACAAGACCCGACCAGGGGCAAATAGTCCATCGCAACAACCAGGCTATTATGGATATGATAAGGAAACTGAAGATCCCTCGCCGCCAATGAGAGGGCAGGGTATACCACAGCGGTCGAGAAATAATAGCAATAGCATACCACCTGTCTCGGCAGAGAGATTCCGTAAGCATAATATCTTTGCTCCTCATGAACCCCTGCAATCACAACCGTTAACCCCACCACAAGTTGGTCATCCTCCGCCCGGTCGAACTAACGATAACGTGGCCCAAGGGGAACGGGAAGGTCGTGATGCTGGGTTTAATAAGGAGCCGGATGGTAAGCCTGCCATATCCAAAACTAAACGACTAGCTAATAATGTGATCAACTAGTCCATGTTGATGAGGTATCGGTTTCGAGCGCTACCAGTGAGGGCCAAAATAGCACCCGGCGAGGTTCAGGATTCTTTAGTCTAACCCGCCGGACCACAGGTGCTGAACAAGAACAGCAAACCTCGAACCATAACGCATTTACCAAGAACAAGGTATCTTCGTTCTTCGGCGTAGAAGCCCATACCCATGACAAGTATCGACCAGCTGTCAAATCTAACCTTGGGTCTACCTTTGATCATGATGATAATCTAGAGCCTACGTCGATGAGGAAAAGATTGTCTGAGCTCACGGGAATGATGAAAGGTGTCGGGAATGCGAAGGATGGGACAAAAGATGACCAACCAGTTAAACCGAGTAACAATACTACATATTCCCCGAGACCTGTGCAGGGTCCAATGCAAGGTCCAGTGCAAACACAAACCGGGCCTCAGCCGTCTCAAGGGCCGGGGGGATTATATGCAGCCCCGTCCAGTACAATAGGACGAATTAGTCCCAGTGGGCCTCGACCTCCCGAAGCTGACGACGAGCGTGAAAAGAAACATGGGTTTTTGGGCGGACTTTTTAATAGGCAAGGGTTTAAGTCATCCGAGACGAAATCAGAGTCGAGACAACCGAGTCAACAGACAAGTCAACAGACATCGACGCCCCTTCAGCGGCCACCGCAACAGTTTCCCATGCAACCCATGCAACAATTCCGGCCTGGTCAGATGCCGCCACCTGGACAACAGTTTGGTCCGCATCCAATGTATCCCGGCCATCCCCCAATGCAACCAGGCTTGCCGGGACAGCAAGGCGCACGAAGACCCATGGTTTCTGGTCCAGGCCAGCCAAATTCTTCGGAGCATCTTCAGTCGCCTACTTCGCCCCAAGTTCTCGAGATTGCACAGTTAATTCAGATGCAACGCCCTTCCGAAATAACAGTCTCCCAAAGTCCATCAGGCGGGTCACCCCTTTCGCCTAGTCAACGACCACCAACATCCCAAGGATCCCAGGCGGGTATACGACCCGGCACCGGACAGGATGCCGGAGGGAGAAATATACCCAAACAGGCCGGGGTCAATGATCCGTTTTCTATGTCTAGTCCACTTCCCAAGGACTTCCACGGCCCTCCACGTGCGGCCTCCTTTGATCTATCCAATACTAGCGGATCCTCGTCAGCAACACGAACCCCGAATAGAAAACCTGTGGCCTCCAGTTTATCAAAGCAAGATGGTGTGTCTGTTAATTCCACACCTACGACACAAAATTCCATTCAGCAGTCGCCCCCAAACCCAACTAGGGCCGATGGTTCAACGCCTCGATCTGAAAGTCCGGATGATGAACAGAGATTATCCAATCATCCTCCCTCTGGCCAACAGAGCCCTACACTTGGTAAGCTAGGTCACATCCGCCAGTCGTCTAATCCGTCTCCGGGGCGCCCACCTCATCCCGGTCAAGTGACTCCGCAATCAATCGGAAGTGCGCAGTTCTCTCCCCAGGGGCCGAGGCCTTCGCAGGATCGGCAGATACCAAGCCAATTGCACGGGAACTCTCAAGGTCAGTTCTCGGCTGATGGTGGTTCTCCGCATGATTCGCGGCAGAACTCACCTTGGAGTCCTAATGTTACCTTCGTTGATCAACCACGTGCAGGGTATCAACCAAGACCACTAGCTACAACTCCTGACCAAGGCCGAGGTACCCTAGAAAAGTTTTTCGGTGTCGATACCGGTATCGATTCCGAAGTTGGGAGTGTTAATTCGGTAAAACCAACGAAGGAGCCGAAAGAAAAGAATGCTGCAGCAAGACTCCTAGACGCTTTTAGGAGAACTAATAAACACGAACCTCAAAAACTCCCCACCGGTCGTCAAACCCCTCCAGCACCACGACCCGGTCAACCAGCAAATACGGCAAACGTACCGCGGCAGTCTCTCAACGGCCCCCCACGCGGACCTCTCAACCCGGTCAGTAACCAACAGCCGCCGCCTCAAGGAATGCCAGGCGCTGTCCGACAGCAGCCTCCGATGATGCACGGAGCTGGACGCGGGCAAGAACCTCGGTACGACCTAGTCCCTATTCCTCGTGGTTACGAGGCTGTACATGGTTATGGCCACGCGGGTATGATGGCCCCCTCTCCTTACAACATCGGACGCCCCGGCCCGCCGCCCCCAAATCAACAATTCCAAGCCTTTGCACCCTTAGGTGTTCCGCGTGGTCCCCCGCAAGGGTTTCCGCAGCAGTGGGATCCCCGAAATGGTCCTGCCCCACAACCTATTCCATATGGCCCATTACCTCCTCATATACAGCCGAACCACCAAGGTCTGCCACCGCAGTTCCCACAGAGACAGGCCAACTCACAATCTACCACACCTACACCGTCCGACCAGGGTACTTTCTTAGATATGGCACCAACCCCGCCTCCTCAAAAGCCCCGTGAAGACACTGGATACGATCCCCAGCCAACCAAGGGTGTTCCACCTCAAGCTATCGGTGGCCCGTCGTTCCAGCAACCACAAATCCGGCTTCAGTCCAACCTCCAACAAGTTCAGAACCCAGAGACCCAAACTCCCTCAAGTTCTAACTGGGGCAGCGCTCCGGACAGCGCTCGATCGGCGCAGTCTCCTAGACAGCCAGGCCCTCAAATACCTAACGGTAGTCTCCACTCCAAGCCGTCAGACCCGAATGTATCACCTCCAAGTGACAACGACGATACGCAAAGATCGCCCAATCAACATATTGCCACAGCCATGATAAAAGGTGTCCACATACACCCTCCGGTACTTCAACCCGGTGTTCCGCAAAACGGACTTCCACCCAATGCGGCCCGTTCATTTTCTCCTTCGACTGCATCGACAAGGGTTCCCGGTTTCCCCAATCAGAACCAGTACCAGAACCAAAACCAGAGCCCACCTCCAATCCAGGAACCTGTAAACCAACCAACGCCCAACGGTGCAGGCCATCTCGTAAGCAAAATGTCAATAACTAACCTCAACGAGCCGCCTAAAAACGCATCGCTTAGTCCCGACGTCAATGCGATCCGTGCAACCAACGTCAGCCCAGAACCCCCTGGTCCGCAGAGGTCATCTCCGTACCACCAAGTGTCGAACACCAGCTTGAATATTAATGTTGATCGTGCGAACGATCCTAAGGAAAATAGCGGAGGGGAGGACGATATTTACGATGCTACGCCCAGATTACATAACACTGTACAGAGCCAAGGCCAGCCTCAGCTCCCAGTTCAGGAATCAGTCCACGTACACGAGAATACAAAGTACGCCGGTTCAGAGAAGAGTCGCACGGGTCTCATCAATGGCGGTGTCGCGGCTGCCGGTGCTGGAATTGTTGCCGGCGCAGTCGGCGTTGCAGTTACAGCAGACGCGAGCAGCATTCAGGATTCTTTGCCAGAGGATCCGTCACCGCCGCAGCGACCAATCGCAATGAATATGCCTGCAGAGCCGGAAGAGAAGATAGCGGTGGACCATCCTGTGGAACTTCCTGCCGTCAATGTCGACGACGACGATGGTATACCCGTGATGACTGCGACGTCGTACCCTGGACAGGAGTGGAATCCGTACGAGGCTGGGGAATTTGGGGACTTCGATATGTAAGGGTTGACGATATAACTCGATGATTTTGGATATGATACGAATTTAAGATCGAAGAAAGGAGAGGCGAGAAAGACGGTAGAGTATATCTACACCTAGCATTTGAGATGAGATGTTAATATGGAGAGTTGCCATGGATGCTATTTTTTGTGTGTTGGAGCTGAGGGGATACATCATACCATACCATACCATATATGTCATGTCTTCTATTCTCTTTCTCTACGATTTAGTTACATCCTTACCTACATACCCTGGCGGGATGCGTCTACTTTCCGAGATGGAATTATCACAAAGAGTCTTTGTCTTGAAAATGTTGGCTCGCTATACATATATCGGCTAGTTATTTGCTTATAAGTACTTAAACTTAAGTTCAGTCAGGTAGTTGGTTAGCTACTTGAATTTTGATGAAATAGATGATATCTGGTTAATATTAACTATATAATTATACTATTGCAGTTTTCAATTATTTATTTGCTTGCTTGTGAGCTATGGTCATTACTGTTTACAAGTCTAATATATTGATATTTAATATAATGTATGCACAAATATGCACAAAGGTTGATGTCACATGTGCCTGGTGTGACAGAAATAGAATAGTGCCAAGACAACTTACATCATAGGTAGCAAAGTACCTCCTAGCTGTAGGTAATGCACGGAGCGATGCACCGCCACTGATCAAGGCTGCGGGCCGCGTTTGACCCTGTAATTTCTCAGAAGAAACACACTGGCCTCAGGAGAGTTTTAAGGCTGAAGTTTACTGCCAAATTAAAGATAAGAACGAACCAACAAACGAACCAACAAACGAACCAACAATCTCACCTGCACCTAAAATAAAGTCGAGACAAATCGAGATACCAAACCCCATCAACCCCATCAAATACGGATATTACCTTAATCAGTCTCGACCCGAATCTCTAATCTACTCTCCGTCGGTCTAGATAAGAAAATAATTATCAATTGTCATCTAGAACACTCCGAATCCGACGCCGTGTCCTTTATCCGGTTTTCCCGAACCCTCGCCATTACCACGCCCTCTACCTGTGTTTAGTCTACGATCAAGACAGATTTCCGCATTCGAGCCATCCTCTTCAAGTTTCTATAGTGTTCTACTACACAAGTTACCGCAACCCAATTCATTCGCGTACAACGACTCGCCTTCATCCACGCGAAGAGCGTAAAACGGCGCTTCTTACAATTTATCTACCTAGCCGTCCCGACAACGTGTCAGGATGGCCGTCACATCTATACAAGACCGCACGGCTGAGTTCCGGTCTGTGCTCACTCAAGTTCAAAGACGGCAAGCCTCGTCTAAGGTCGGCGCGCAGAGAAGATCGCTCTTAACAGACTCGCAAAAAGCAGCCGCCAATGGCGATGCGCAACCGCACCGGAGATCAGAATTTGCTAGGCGCGCCGCTGAGATAGGGCGCGGGATCGCTGCTACGATGGTATTTCCTCACATTTTATTACGAAGAAGTCAGAGCGTATGTGACCCTCGCTAACGTGCTTCCACAGGGCAAATTAGAGAAACTGGCGCAGTTGGCGAAACGCAAGACATTATTCGATGACCGGCCCGTCGAGATTAACGAGCTCACTTTTATGTATGGACTCTTTCACCTTAACTACTACTGAATTACATATCTAACATGGCTTTCGGCTAGAATAAAACAGGACTTATCTTCCCTAAACCAGCAGATTAGCGGACTACAGTCGCTAACGCGGCAGCAACACCCTAAAGCGGATCAAGAGGGCGAACATAATAAGAATATCGTATTAATGCTGCAAGGCAAACTTAGTGACGTAGGCGCCAACTTCAAGGATGTACTTGAGGTACGCACCAAGAATATCCAGGCGTCGCGGTCGCGCACCGAGAACTTTATATCCTCCGTATCGCAACACGCGCAATCGTCATCTCTCCAGCAATCTGCGAGTCCCTTGTACGGGACACCGAACCGCGGCACGCCGTCGCCCGGTGCAGACTTATTGACACTAAACCCACCATCCGCGATAGGCGACCAACAGCTGCTTATGATGGAGGAGGCGGCACCGCAGAACTCATATATCCAGCAGCGAGGCGAAGCCATCGAGGCTATCGAGAAGACCATCAGCGAGCTAGGGTCAATCTTTGGGCAACTAGCGCAGATGGTGTCGGAGCAGAGCGAGATGATCCAGCGCATCGACGCTAACACCGAGGATGTTGTCGATAATGTTCAAGGCGCCCAGCGTGAAATACTCAAGTACTGGTCCCGTGTATCGAGTAATCGGTGGTTGATCGCCAAGATGTTTGGCGTGTTGATGATATTCTTCCTGTGAGTCGCTCTCTTATATATGCATATATGCGCTCTCCCTTCACTCTTCAAATTCAAGAGACCAGTTTTGCTAACCATAGGTAAAGCTTATGGGTTCTTATCGCCGGTTAAGAAAAACCACACGAGACCATACGAGACAAGAGAGATGAGAGACTCCTTAGTAGAGGCGCTGGTGTACTACTACTATCTTCACTTTGTACATTATTACGCCGCCTGCCCCCTGGTCCGGGGACGGTGAGCAGTTGGACTACACTTAGTAGATTTGTAATGGCGTGCACGGCGACGACGACTTGTTTAATGCATCCATAGTATATCCATCGAACCAAAGAGATGTCGTTTTGGTTCTTATAGGATCCCGAATCCGAATAGCTACGAGTATGGTCTTGGTCACATTAATGTTACTTGGTGTATGACCGTGATTTCTGGTCTAGGTCCCCATCACCTTGATTGGACTTTGACGGGCTGGGGCGGTTTTGGGTTATGCGCTGGGTGGAAATGATGAGTAGCCAATTCTGATATCATAATCTATTATAATTGTTGTTATGTTGTGAGATCTACAGGGATACGAGTATACTCGGCCTTTAATCCAGCCGAGATTCGCTCCAAGGAAAGTTCAGGACATAATGTACAGTACCCCACTTACATTAACAATGGACTTTGATTTTATTTGGTTTTATTTGATTTTTCGAAGGTAGCCTGGTTAAAGACAGGAGGCTCCTTTATAACTTGTTAATTGCAAAAAGTCGGAATTATTACGATGGCCCATGTTTACAAAAATTTCCAGTATATCATAGGTTCCCAGTCTATCATCTCGTACCTTGCGGGCGGCGGGGTCCCCCCTACTTTAGTCCACGTGTAAGTCGCTGCGCTTGAATCACATCATCCCGAGGGCAATTCGAAATTTGGACCAGTGACGTTTCTCGGTGACCGACTACCCCGACATCATCAGCGTGGTGGAGTAGCGGAGTAGGTACCTGTCTTTAATAGATCGACTCTAGCATTAGATAGATGCATATAGTTAAGAGGGTGGGCGGTAGAAGAAGTACCCTAACTCGATATATGTAATAAACCATGAAATATATAACGTCCCGAAGTCTTTACCCGGTATCGCCTACACATGTGTCTCTAACCCTACAACTTACACGCCTCTTATACTTGAGAGTAAATAGTAGAAAAATTACTTCATTACAGCGAGCATGAGACGTTTACAGTATTATTGTATTAATGATCCATTGTATTAATGACCAGATAGGAATATGTCCGGAAGCACCCCGCGGGACTCCCCAGCTACTTACTACAGCATCGTGAGCGGAGTCCACCCGTAAGTCATTCCGCAACTAGCCCCCCTATCTATACTACTTTGTACCATAGTTCCCTTATTAGTCCATCTAGGCTCGCATCCTATTTTGCCGGAGGTGCCGTAATAAATACTGTTACGTAGCCGTCAAAGGTAGATTGAAGACAGATGAGAATATGCCACATAGAATATAAATCTCTTTTTTTCTCTTAATTCAGAATAACTAAAGTTGAGACCTTTCTTGGACGTATAGCCATTTAGCAGCAGACACGCCTATACTAATAGTATCACGATGGCGCCCTCGTCGTTCAAACTTAACACGGGCCAGGAGATCCCCGCTGTCGGATTCGGTACGTCCATTCGTTTCCTCATTTGCGCCAGCCCCTCCCCCTCTTCTCATAACCCCTAATTGATACCAAGCCTGGCTCCTCAGTCCATACAGATTGTTAGCTTCCCAAATGAAGAGCACACTGTTATATTATATATTATACCCTTAGATGCAACTATCCACTAACACGGCCCTCGCCGCAAAACAGGAACATGGCAAGCAGCACCGGGTGATATCGCCAAAGCCGTCGAGCTCGCGCTAAAACACGGATACAAGCTAATCGACGCTGCGTACTGCTATGGGAACGAGGAAGAGGTTGGAAAGGGCCTAAAGGCGGCTTTCGATGCCGGCTACGCCAAGCGCGAGGACATCTTCGTCATGACCAAGGTGTGGAACACATACAGCAACCGCGTCGAGGTAGGCCTAGACAAGTCTCTCAAGGCGCTTGGCCTCGATTACGTCGACCTGTTCCTCGTGCACTGGCCCGTTGGCATGAACCCCAACGGTAACGACGACCGCTTCCCCAAGCTGCCTGATGGCAGCCGTGATATTCTCTGGGACCACGACCACGTCGCTACCTGGAAGCAGATGGAGGGTCTGCTCAAGACCGGCAAGACGAAGGCCATTGGTGTCTGCAACTACAGCAAGCCCTACCTAGAGCAGCTGCTCGCGAAGGCTGAAGTCGTGCCCGCTATTAACCAGATCGAAAACCACCCGGGCTTGCCTCAACAGGAGGTTGTCGACTTCTCCAAGGAGAAGGGCATCCACATTGTGGCATACAGCCCCTTAGGTAGCACAGGTGGCCCGATGTTGCAGAGCGAGCCCGTGACCAAGGTCGCCCAGAGGAAGGGTGTCAGCCCGGGAACTGTATTGTTGAGCTACCACGGTACGTCATTCTCTCTTACTGATATCCTCAACGGTGCATGATACGATACTAACAGTCGTCGTCGAAAATAGTCGCCAGGGGCGCCACCGTGCTGGCCAAATCCGTGACCGAGTCGCGCATCAAGGCTAACCTCGAGATTGTCGACCTCGATTCCGAAGACTTGAAGATTCTGAACGATTACTCGGACAGCCTTGTTAAGGAGGGCAAGGTCCTGCGTTACGTGTATCCTCCCTTTGGAATTAACTTCGGGTTCCCGGATAAGAACGAGGGTCGGAGTCTACCGAATGGCTTTGCGGGGTGATGGTGAAGAGTAGGTGGCGCTGTTTGTCATTGTGATGGATGCGCGGACTGTTATTGGTCTTGTTCCATGGCTGTGTAACGTAGAGTGGGAAAATACCTAGTTCTTCTAATCTACGTACGAAATCCTCAAGCGGACATTTTCCCTTAGCTACCTGATAGCAAGGCAACGTATGATATTGGACATGCGAGATATAACATCGGCCCCGTCATCTTACATGGCACTATGCGTATCGAGTTATCGATTGACTTCACATCCTCTTTGCCTCCTTAGATCTCTGGGGTGATGTTGGCACCTCGTGGTGACTTTTCTGCATTTCATACGGTGATATTAAGCGCGAAGTACAAGTATTGGTACCTTTGCGATATATTCTGTAAAGCTTTCGAATTATTTCGATGATAGTCGTTTACTTGATGATGATAATAATGTTTACGTCTCTTGGTGGCTATAGGCTACATAAGATGTAGTTACAGCGTGCGCATGGTATATAATGGAAAGAGACAAAGGCACACATCACTCTGAAGCCATATTGAGGACAAGGTTGTTACTTTCGAAACCCGCACGACCATCCCGATCATCGCAAGAGCATGCGTAGCAATCTTTTCTTTTCTTCTAACAAAACCCCCCGATACAAACAGAATAAATACGATGTACATGCGCTAAGCAACCCTTAATATATAAGCCCAACAAGAAAAGCAAACCCATTCTAGCATAAAAATACAGAAATCATATATTGTACCAAACTATCCTCTTACGACTCTTATGCCCTATTCTGTCAGCGGTATGTGGCTTTCTAAGAAAACGTTGAATGCTCCTGGTGTTGTTGTAAAGAAGTCAGTTGCATGTGAGAATAATTCAGTACCATCCTCACCAGGAGCAAGATGGATATTGAAATGTGTCAATAATAATGCGAGAGCCACGCGAATTTCCATCATGCTAAGGTTCTTTCCTAAGCATGCCATTTTACCTACTCATTTAAAAGTAATTAGAATCAGTCCATACAGATGTCCTTGTCTTTCCACAACTCAGTCCTTATGGTAGAATGCTTACCAATACTCCAAGGGACGAAAGCATTCTTATTAAGAATAAGTTCTGGCTTTGTGGTGAATCGCTCTGGGATCCATTCATTCGGTTCAAGGAAACAGTCCTCGTCTATTCGAAGGATAAGCGTCATTCTACAAGTAGTGACGTATTATAACATACCTCTATGCAGGCTGTATTGAGGTGTTACTAGAGTTGTGCCACCAGGAATGAAGACACCATTAATAGTAATTCCCTGCTCTGGTGCCATGCGTAAGCCTGCAGATGGGACAGCAGGATGGAGTCGTAATGTCTCGTAAATACATGCTGTCAAATGTTGAAGACTTTGTAAAGAGTTGTAGTCGAATACGTCGATAGATGATAATTCTTGCCTAACTTTGGCGAGATGTTCAGGGTTGCGTAAGAGATAATATACCGCATTCGAAAGTACCAAGCGCACAGGGTCGCTATAAGAATTAGAAGATAGGAAATATAGATCAAGGCAAATAAGACAATGCGCTAATTTACCTGCCTGCTGCAACAACAAGAACGAAGTCGCCTAAAACAAAGTTCCAGTTCTTCTCGACACCACCATGTTTGATAGCATCGCTAAGAACGAGACCGATAATATTTTTGCGGTCACACTTATTGTTCTGTGTATGAAGCTAGTAGGCTATGTTAGTTGCTTCAAACGTTAGATTACTTGATGAATATGCTTGCCTTGATATTGTTGTCGAGCTCGTCGTGCGCCCAGCGCATAAATTGGCGGTAGTATTTTATCCGCTCAATAAAGGGGATGCCCATCAATAAATGTTTGATCCATGGTGCGCTATTCAGTGGACCCAACTTCTTATGGGCGATATGCCAGAGATTGAGGATAGGGTGGCCTTCCGTGGTTAGGTTGTTGAAGTCAATTGTTAAACCTAAGGAGCCCATCAAGTCGAATGTATAGTACTCAAACCAAGTAGATAGATCGAGCTTTTCAGCCATCCGTTGTCTTAGCTTTTCCATGAGTAGCATGGCATAATTATAGACAGGTTTTTCGTTTTCTTTGAGGGCTTTGATAAATTAGCATTGCAAGTTATAGTCCAGGAGATGAAAGTGATAATATAAGATTTTCTTGTGAGTCTTCCAGATCACACATGGCAGCACATCGTGAGCCAGACAATCTTTAGGGCGAAAATCTAGCAAAAACTAACCTTTTATACTAAATGCCTGATCCCATAACTTTCGCCGCGACATATGAATAGCCGGATCCCTTGTTGTATCAAGCGATACCATTGGATGTAAAATATCGTAGTATGCCGAACGCCCACAATTAGATTCAGACCCGTGGACTTTGTGATATGCATCGTACCCAAACAATGTAACTTCGTTTGGACCTTGAAAGAATTTAGGTTAATAAGGATGTCATATTATAAGGTAACAGGGTTATCGATGGCTAGCGACTGCTGCCATGAAGGGTAACTTGAATGATAGCAACTGAACATATTTCCGGATCTCAGACACCCCCAACCCATTGCACTATATAGGTATAATGCAATAGTTTAAGGAGAGATTCTCAAATTATGGTGGCTTGTGAGGTAAATAAAGTAAACCAGAAGGGTCACGGATCTTGATGGTCTTCATTTACTTACCCGTACGTACAACGCTGCCGTATTTGCTTCTTAGCCGATGCAATTCATTGAAATTCTGTCTCGTTGAATCCATCAAGGTCCACACGTGGGTGAGTTTTGAGATGCGCATACCTAACGGGCCGGGAATGCCACATAAGGGCGACAGAAGTAAACGGTATATTGATATGCTGGTGAATATGGTACTGGCATAAATGCTGCTCAAATTTATCAACTCGTAAATGGCCTGTCTGGCTGGAAGACCTTCATATTGGCACTTGAGATACATTATTATGGCTCCTGCGAGGATGTGTTTGCGTGCAATTGTGGCCGCTAGGAGATCCTTTTCGCCATGGATAAAGTAGGTCCAGTGCAGAACCAGACCTACTATGATAGGCACAAAATACTGAAGTGCGGATAACATAGTAATCGGAAACAAATTTTGATTTTGGTAGAGTATATGATGATTTGTGAATTGTTTGTAAGACTGGACTAGTTATACGAAAGGCAACGAGTCCGAGGAAATAAATTGGGGGGGAATGCTCGAATAAAACCGGCAAGGAATTCATGAAGTCATTTAGATCTGAGCTATGTTATAAAATTTTCGAGAATGGGGGCTGTTCATCCATATTGTCGATAATGAATCCTAAGAAGGCTACGAGGCTTCAACGCTCGAAATCCTAGCCTGGTTGACTTGGTCCAAGTTTGTAGGACAACAACTACGCCCACTCCCTACGGCTCATGTACCTATACATATACAATACTTCCTTTACTTTCGTATACGATGTCTGTGATGCATGCATGGCTTGACATCAAGCGGGGGCCATCCGTTAGTTATGAGGCCGTGGTGTGTACGCGGCTTACGGTTCGGGTTCTTTTTGATAGCCGCTCTATATAGGTCTCTACTCCCTGAACGACCATCTTCTGATCTCGACACCGAGAACATATAACTGTTGCTGAGATTTGTGTATTTCCCAATCATGGCATCAATACCAAACTACGTTTTCACACGCGACTACATCGACAATAATAGGTTAGTGATTCTCAACGCTAGCCTCGGGCTGTATGTTAAGTAGGACTGACATGAGCGGTCCGCTCTGCGGTCATGACAGGATTAATCTCCAACATCATCAGTGGACAGAACTTTTCGGATACTTACTTCATCCTCAGATTCCTACAACCAACACCAACCTTCGTGTGGCAGACGTCGGCACTGGGACGGGGTGAGATCTTACGCCCCCAACCCCCCCACCGATAATATGACTTACCATTAAATAGGGCTTGGCTTACAAGCTTAGGCGCCAACTTGCCGTCTACGGCGCAATTGGATGGTCTAGATGTGTCACTGCAAGCCACCCCGCCGGCCGAGTGGTTACCAGGAAATATCCGCTTCCGGCGATGGGACATCCGAGAAACCGTACCCGAAGATCTTGTGGAGGCATATGATGTCGTACATATACGCCTCCTCTCATTCGTTCTCCACAATGAAGAGATCCCACATATCTTGCAGAATGTTACCAAACTAATCAGTAAGTCCACCGACTTCCATACATGGTATTGGTTCAGAGGAATTTCATTGTTGGTTTCACGTAGCGTTTATATTCTAATCCTTGTCTCATCTGCAGAGCCCGGCGGTTACTTGCAGTGGGCCGAGGCTGATGTTGCCTCATTTCGTATCGAGAAGACCAACCCTAATAATAGTACCGAGGCACTTACTCGACTTCTCAGCTTATCTCAGGGTCAGGATACACGACTTAATCCTAAGTGGGTGCCGCAGCTTGCCGAGCTATTCAGTAGCTCAGGGGGCCTGTGTAACGTCCAAGCCGATGTAAGAGATGCCCCCAACCATTTGGCTCTAGCAATGCACGAATGCAACTTGTTGGTACACGAACTGCTTGCTAGGACCACAAAAATCGAATCATATGCAAAAGAGCTGGAGGACTTGATGCCACGCGTCGCTGCTGAGACCAGAGAAGGGGCCTGTTGGGCATTTACTAGATGGACAGTTGTGGGAATGAAACCCTTGGTTCCATAAGTTAGCCACTACGGGAAGTTGGAAAGACGATGTTGCTATTCTAGTCTACGTAACTAAAGTGTTTTTGTCTGAAAGATCTGTGATCTCCTTAGCTTATCTGAGTCTTACTGTCGGTGCCTCGGTGTTTAGTAAAGGCTGCGATCGGAGGTCAGGACCCAAGCAATGAATTCGTGGTTTACAGGAAAACTGTATGGCCGATGGGCAAATTATTACTCTTCTACGTATTTCTGATTTCTTTGGTGTGCTAGATCCGTGTATTATCGTCATTTCCCGACTCCGCGTCCTTCGTCATGATAGATACCTTCTAGCGTTTAGCACGGAGTAGAAGGCGGAGTCAATTCACTTTAGTCACTATTCATCTAGAACTTATTTAGACTTGAATACATATCCCTTTATCTCATACATCGCGTTGGTCATATAGATATTAAAAAGCGGCCCCGTGATTTCCCAGCTTTCTCAACCCGAGAGGGCTTTGTTGATCACGTCCACAACACCTTGAGTCGCGGTGAAGTTGGGACAATGGCCTGTCGCCAATTCGAAAGTCTGCACTTTATTCCCTGATTTCTCGATTGTGTCAACAAAAGTCTTCTGGTAGTCGAAGGGTACGGTCATGTCGGCAGTAGTGTAAATATAAGTTACGGGGATGTCGCGCCAAGCACAATGCTCGAGCGGTTGGTACATGCATTTTCCGTTCCAGCGATGAAGCGTCTTGAGATAGGCTTCAGTTTCAGCCTCATCGCGGCCAGGACCCACGACCAGAGTCTTAGGATCGCGGGAGACAACAGTGTCATCCTCAGCAAAATCAAAGGCTATTGGTACTAGGTCCATATTGCCGAACTCTTTAACCTTATCCATCATACTAGTGCCTTCAGTGCCAGCATATGCGGTCATGTAGATGAGACGGGAAACCCCTCCCTTGAGGCCTTTAGAGGATCGTGCTTCGAGGCCTAGACCATATAGAGCGTTGGTACCAACTTGTCCGCCATACGAGTGCGTAAGTGCCACAACAGTACGTCCGGCCCGCACAAGGCTCTCAACGTAGCTGCGAATGAGTGCTGTATCGTCTGAGAGGTCGGCGTTAGGTGGGCGGACCTGGTTGATTGACGGGAGGCGCGGGACGTGAACCTCGTAGCCCGCTAACTCAAGAGCGGTTATAAGATCCTCGTAGCTTTCGGGGACATGCCAACCGCCATGGATAATAATGATTGTCGGCTTGGTAGTGGTCGCCATAGTTGCTAAGTATAGGCTAGTTTGAGATTTGACTCTGAATTCTTAAACGTGTATGTGATGAAGGTAAGGTACGCGAGGTCTCAAGTATTATGGCGAAGCGTGGGATTTATCACAACTTTGACAAGTTTGAGAGATCTATTCAAGGCCTGGGTAGGTAGAGAGAAGAAAGTCCGTCAAGACAGACATGATGAGGAAAGGGGGAGGATAACTACCTACCTACCTAGGTACCTAGTAATATGGACAAGGCTGCCGGCGTTACATGGCCACAGTGCCATTCATGTACACTGCATGCATACCTACCTACCTACCATTTCTCCGGTGTTGCTTTTATTCTTGGCAATGTTGGTTACACGACAGGTTTGTGAGATGTGATGTTACAAGCTCGTAGGTACATTATATGATATTTTCGTAAATTTCTCAACTCAACAAGATAATATATTAATATTTATATAAGATACACTTTTTTCATTCAATCTTAGTTAGATATGCGATAGTATAGGTAATCCCCCTTTTCCCCAACAATATGGCTACACAATCATCCCCCACTACCACTTCTCGCCTACACCCAGACAGAATCAGCAGTGGCTATCTCACCTACTGCATCGTTTCTGGAATATTCATGCTAATAGCAGCAATTTGTGTCGTCTTCCGATTTATTCAACGTTATAAAATCCGAGACTTTAGAGGAGATGACTGGACAATCTTGGGGTCGTTTGTGTTCGGCATGGGCGTTTTTATCACCAATATTCTAATATCATTGCCTTCTCTGGGTGCTGCTGGCTACCATATTAATGAGTATTCACTTTCTCAACTTCACGTATGGGCAAAGGTAGGTGGCTCTATCATTTATACTTTCTTAGCAGAATTAATTGAGACGCTACAGTTAGGGTTAGCTGCCGAGACTTTATACAACCCAAGCATCGCTCTTTCTAAAATCTCAGCTTTACTTTTTTATCGTCGGATTTTCTCCGCCGATGGACAATTCCTAATCTTTATGAGGATCATGATATTCCTTATTGTAGCACAGTTTTTATCTTCCGTTATTGGCCTAATATTTTCATACAACCCTATAGAGGCACAATGGATTGTTGAAATGCCCCATACGACAATTAACACGAAGGCTTTTTACATTACCACTGCCGTCATTAACATCCTCTTGGACATAGCAATTCTTGGAATCGCTCAAGTTAAAGTGTGGCAACTACATTTAGATACAAAACGAAAAGTTCTACTTTCCCTTGTGTTTCTGCTTGGGGCATTGTAAGTTCTAACCGAACTCCTTGTGAATGGCATATGATACTAATTTATTCCTTAATACAGAACCGTTATCGCAAGCATATTACGCATCGTCTATTTAGAAACGGTGGACTCTGCAGATTCTACTTGTAAGTTACTGTTGTTATTTATTTTAATTATATTTAGTTTATTTAATAGCATTTACAGAGAGTCTAATGAAAGATGTAGATACTTTAACAACAGCCGGAATTTGGACCAACGTTGAAATGTTTTTATTAATCATTTGTTCATGCCTTCCTATCCTATATAGCCTTCTACGGCTGCAATTCAATAGAGGGCACCAGGCAAACCCAAATATAAATGCCAGAAAAACCAAGAAGAATGGTGGTAGCTTGTTAACATTTGGAAGCGCCCCGGCGAGGCCTAAAAAGAGTATGCTCAGCAATGATATTGAGTTGTCTGGTAGTACAGCTGGATACCATGTTATTTGTGAGACCGGATGCCATGGAGAAATGGATGGTATGGCATATGGAGGCCCAGTTCAAGTGCAGGCAGAATATTCGGTTTACAGATCGGCATGAAGGGATTTACGTATTTAGTGACATCGAACTCCAACTTATCATCTAGGCACCCTTGAGGGATATCATTAACAGTACCGATCTACCTAAAAGTAGCTTTCCTGAAACTTACGTACCTAAGCAGGCATGCAACTGCATATAAATAGATACATACGACTGTATAAGTAATGACTTTTCCATAATTACCTTTTTTTTCTTTTTCTTTTTTGCATGGATATATGAAGAAGTAAAAATTCACAACTTCAACAAGAGAGTCTTCTAACCATTGTTATCAAGATATTAAGTCCAGCATAAATCCATATTTCCCCTATCAAGCGGAGAACATGTCTCCAAATGAAGATTCAGCCCAAGTAAAGGCAAGGCATAATGTCCTTTGCTTACATGGAATCGGGACTAATGCTGATGTATGTGTAAACACCTTACCGAAAATGCTACCTTCCTATCTGCTATTCCCAGCCGTTTTCCTTAGCTGATAAGCATGTCTTAGATATTTGAGGCTCAAACCGGTCAGTTACTTCATACCTATGGAGGCCAACCGGTAATCGGCGACGTAATGGGACCCCAACTAACATATTTTTCACAAGCCACCCTCCGCCACCAACTAAATTCAGTAGCATCCTACGAATACGATTTTGTTGACGGCAATCACCCATGGCCCCCTCATCCGACGGTCACCAACATCTTTGGGATGCAACAGGAGTATCTTTCGTATTTTGACGGATCGGCGGCGAGTGCTCTCACCGCCATTGATAATCTCGCCACTCATATACTAGAGAATGGTCCCTATGATGCTATCATGGGCTTCTCCATGGGTGGCGCAATGGCAGCAACGCTATTGCTCCAACCTCAAAATCCTGAAGCTGATAACCCAAGTTGGCTTGCTGCCCGCAAATTGATACGGGGTGCGGTATTTATCTGCAGCACACTTCCTGTAGACACCATGGAGCTGCGGCACGGTAGAATGGGCTGGGTCAAGGCGGAGGATGTAGGGCCAGCCGGAAAGCTTCATCCAATTGGTGTCCCTACTGTACACGCCTGGAGCCCTAGAGACTTATGTAATTGTGCCGAAAGCAGGTTATTGGTCTCTATGTGTATCGAGACACAACGTACTGAGGTCCTGCATGATGCCGGCCATGGGATCCCTTCCGGTATAAGTGAGGTTACTTCGATGTCTGATGTGATCCAAGGGATGATGAATAAAATTGAACAGTAACTGCATGTATTCTTACACTTTTGTTGCCTGTTCTACGCTAGGTACACAAGATACTTGGTAGCGTACCCAATACAAGAGAGCCCTTTATGACATGTATCCATAAGTGTCTTGCATGCACATAACATGTGACAATTTACATTTAAAAATATAATATCATTCTGTGAGCTTCTAACTCAGAGTGATACAACTTCTAGTTTAGTACCTATGTCTATTAAATAGCGCATGTTATGCAGTTTAATGAAAAGGCATATCTAAAATTAAATCGAACCTTAGGTAGGTTAGGAACTCTCAATTTTTGGCCGCCATAGGGATATTGATAAGAACGAAACGCTCGTCGAGAAGGTCTTTCTCTGTGACATCTAGTTCATCCGAATTGTTTCCCCCGCGCGAGTACCACATTAAATTTCATATTTTCTGGTGTTATTTTACCCATCGTTCAACATGACAACTGTGACACCCGAGCCTTTTGAAGATGACAAGCTAGTTCCTCTGGCTGTTGTCGGGATGGCTTTTGAGTTTCCCCAAGAGGCCACTTCGGTTGAAAGCTTTTGGGAAATTATCCGTGAAGGGAGGTCTACAAGTTCAGAGTTTCCTCCAGATCGTCTAAATATAGATGCCTTCTACCACCCAGACGGAAACCGTCCAAGTACACTACCTCTCCGTGGTGGACATTTTGTCAAAGAAGGCCTTGGGACTTTTGATGCCCCTTTCTTTTCCATAACGCCAGGGGAAGCGGCATGTATGGATCCCCAACACCGGCGAATGCTTGAGATCGCATATCACGCTATAGAGGACGGTAAGTAAGATTAGATCCAGGCTATAGTATAAATCTGACACTTGATCAGCTGGTATCCCTATTGAAAGATGTACTGGTTCGGATACATCAGTATACACAGGTTGCTTTACGAACGACTATCTAAGTATCTTGCAACAGGATTATGACGCGGAACAGAGACACGCCGCAATGGGCATCTCGCCCGCAATGTTGGCGAATCGTATAAGCTGGTTCTTCGATTTTAAAGGGACATCCATGAACTTGGACTCAGCCTGTTCTAGTAGTCTAATCGCTCTTCACCTTGCATGTCAAGAGTTGCGCCTTGGGAATTCGTCCATGGTAAGTCCTCGGCAAATTATATTTGGCTATCAAACCCACTGTTAATACCTCGCATAGGCCCTTGTCGGGGGAGCTAATCTAGTTTACCACCCCAACTTTATGAAGATCATGTCGGATTTCAATTTTCTGTCCAGTGATAGCCGCTGCTGGAGCTTTGATGAGCGCGCCAATGGCTACGCACGTGGCGAAGGCATTGCTATGGTTGTGGTAAAAAGACTAGATGATGCTTTGAGAGATGGAAATACCATTCGCGCCGTGATTCGTAACACTGGATCCAACCAGGACGGCAAGACTCCGAGCATCACCCAACCAAGCCAGGTTGCGCAAATCAATCTTATCACGAGGACCTACCAACAAGCCTGCATTGACATGGAACCCACCCGATTCTTTGAAGCACATGCTACAGGTACCGCAGTTGGCGACCCTATTGAAGGAAATGCTATTGGAGAAGCGTTTAGGGAATATAGGAACTCACATGATCCGTTATATATTGGCGCTGTCAAGGCAAATATTGGTCATCTTGAGGGCTGCAGTGGCTTGGCTGGTATCATTAAGACGATACTGGTACTAGAATATGGAGTGATACCCCCAATCGCAGGGTTTAAAACTCTTAATAAGCGGATAGACTCAAAGCGCCTACATCTAGCAGTAAGTTAGCAGATACTGGGGATCAGTCAGAAGAGCTAAAATTTGTAGTTTCCAACAGTTCCCACTGCTTGGCCATTGGTCGACATCCGTCGGGCTTGCGTAAGTCATTATTATGTTTAATTGATATTATTACTGAGTCTTCTTCTACGGCAGGTAAATTCGTTCGGCTTCGGTGGAACTAATGCGGTTGCTATCCTCGACGATGCTTATAACTATCTGAGGCTTAGGGGTCTTCGAGGAGATCATCGAACTCATTATAGGCAACTTACTACTAAGCAAGCATCAAACCGTGTTATGTTGAACGGTCGAATACTAGCAAATGAATTACCTCAACATCTCAGTAAGCTACCATACAATGGGGAGGACATTACGAATAATGCTCGTGGTGTGGCTTCTGATATGTCAGGCTTTATCTTCAATGATGTTGAGGCAAATGGCTACGATAGAGAAAGGGAGGAAATCTCGGCAAAGCTAGAGCCTTCTACTCTGGGAAGAGACACACTTAGAAACGGCGACATACTGGATAGCCTTGGAATAATAATCCCTAAACTTCTGGTTTGGTCCGCTCCTGACCGCCAAGGGTTAGAAAGGCTATCTAGAGCCTATCATGAGTATCTAGACAAGGATACAGTTGAGTTGGATAATGTGGCTTATAACTTAGTTGTCAGAAGAAGTCACTTTACTTGGAGAAGCTTTGCGGTTATCGACCCGGAAAAGTTTATCTCGTCTAAAGAAATCGAATCGCCCGAGCCGATAAAGGGTTCAACAAATAACCCCCAAGTTATCTTCGTCTTCACGGGACAAGGGTCTCAGTACCTGGGTATGGGCCGCCAACTTCTTGCCTATCCGGTTTACCGAGGTAGTCTTGAGAACTGCGAAGAGTATTTGAAACAGCTAGGCTGCCAATGGTCCCTCCTTGATATAGTCAATTGCAGGCAGGATGGCATACCAATCGACTCTCCAGAGTACAGCCAACCTCTAATCACATGCCTACAGATTGCTCTCGTGGATCTGTTGCAAAGCTTAGGCGTTATTCCCAAACTCGTTATAGGCCATTCCTCGGGGGAAATTGCCGCTGCATATTCATCGGGTGCTTTATCAAAATCATCTGCTGTAAGAGTAGCTTACTACAGGGGTCAGCTATCGTCTCACCTGGTCGCCAGAGTACAAGGCCTCGGTATGATGGCAGTGGGCATGGCGAAACATGATGTGCAACAATATATTGACCGCTTGAATAGCCTTGATGGAAGGTTGGATGTTGAGATTGGCTGTATGAACAGCCCTAAAAACGTTACATTGACCGGAAACGCTCAACAGCTCGCTGTCCTCAAAGAATGGCTTAAAGACGATGGTTTCTTTGCGCGAACTCTACCAATCCCAATGGCATATCACTCCCACTTCATGAACGGAGTCAAGAATGAATATACTCATGTTATTAAGGATCTTGATGCTGGCCGGAGCTCTGGGTTTGTTCCTATGATTTCTTCAGTATCAGGAGATCTAGCGACGGCGACAGAACTCATCTCGGCTGAGTATTGGGTTCGTAATTTGACATCGCCTGTTGATTTTGAGGCCGCATTTTCCAAGCTTCTTACTATGATTAATCGAAAACCGCGCAAGCGGCTAGGAGAACGGATAGCCTTGGATTATACGGACGTGACACATGTTCTCGAAATTGGACCACATCACGCTCTCCGCAGTTCTATACGCGAGAACATACAGGCTTTTATCGGTGTAAGGAAACCAACGTATATATCCTCACTTATTCGTGGCGAGGATGCCGTTATTTCTCTACTAAAGATGGCAGGCGGTATGTACTGCGCTGGATATCCCGTGGATTTACTAAGCGTAAACGGGCTTGAGGAATGCCCTAGGCCCCTAACCCCTGGTTTGCCTCGATATACGTTCAACCATTCCCTGATTTACTGGCGGGAAAGTTCTCTAAGTCGAAACTTTCGATTTAGAGGAGCTCCCCGGCATGAACTACTCGGATCTCGCAGCTTAGACTGGAATCCTGATATGGCCCAGTGGCGTAACATTATCAGGCTGGACGAGCTTCCTTGGCTTGAAGACCATAAAATTGGAGGCATGATAGTATTTCCCGCAGCCGGCATGATAGCCATGGCAGTCGAAGGCCTCCGACAACTCATTGATGGCCCACTCCACGGAATCTATGTAAAAAAGGTTAATTTTTTACACGCCATTAGCCTGCCTCAAGAGGTAGCCAGTATTGAAACTCAATTAACAATATCACGGCCGCTCCAAGGCAGTTCCACAATATGGTCTGTATTTCGACTTTTCGTCCAAGAAAATGGCAGTTACATAGAATGCTGCAACGGAAAAATTCGAGCCGTTCTTGACGCAGAAGACCGAAGTCGAGTCATCTCCTCCGGACCATGGAAACGCAATGGCATGCCGAGTGACTGGGTCAGGAATATTAAAATGGCCTGTGGAGGAGCCGAAGTAGACCCTTACGAAATGCCCGCCGGTATTGAAGTCCAATATGGGCCGACGTTCCAAAATCTTCGTCGTTTGAGGCTAGGCATCGGAGGTGAAGTTACGGCTGAAGTCGACACTGAGTCATGGAAGTCGAAGAATATAAGCAAGACTACCCCATCTTTTGCTGTTCATCCTACAACTCTAGATGCCCTCGCACAACCTTTGCTACTAGCCCTCCTAGCACAACGGCGGGGGGACTTACCTACGATGGTGCCGGTCTACGTTTCTACAATATGGATCGATTGTTGTACCGAAGATCTACACCAAGGGAATATTGCAGTTGCCGCCAGGTGTAAGTTTTTTGGCTATCGTGGTGGCTACGCCGATGTGCTTGCATCTGCCATGAATGAGAGCAATCCACTTATCTATATGGAAGGATTGGAAACATCTTTCATCAGCGTAGGATCATCTAGTCAAAGCCAAGCTATGCAGCCGCGTAGGCTGTGTGCAAGGTTGATCTGGAAACCAGATCACGATATGATGACTCGCGAGCAAATTCTAGCATATTGTACCCGAGATAGACCTAAGCAAGAAGATGATGCGGTGAAGTCATATCGCTCACTGATACTCGCCATATTGTGTTTCATAGAGCAGACGCTTGCAAAAGTCAGCCAGGATAAAAATATGGTGTTGGAGCGACATCTGGACTCATACGTCGACTGGATGCGGTACCAACAACGTCGGCTTCATACGGGCAAGTCGTTAGTAACATACGAATCGGTTTTGCAACTTCTGAATGACCGCGAAGCCCAAGATCAACTCAACCAGCAAATAGAAAATTCGGGGATAGATGGCTTCTTTTTTATTCAGATCGGCCGACAAGTCATTCAGATGCTCTATGGCAAGGTTGACCCTCTTGACTTTATGTTTCGAGAAGGACTAGCCAACAAATACTACGAAAAAATGTTATCCAACCACCATCATGCCTATCCTGCCTCCCAGTACGTCGACCTCTTATGTTTCAAGAACGCGAGGATGAATATTCTGGAGGTTGGTGCGGGGACGGGAGGTCAAACGATGTGCCTACTAGAATCAATGAGCAGCAACGGCGTGAACAAATGGGCAAAGTATGACTATACAGATATTTCGCCAGGGTTTTTCAATCAAGCCAGGGAAAAGTTCCACTACCCAAACATGAATTTTCGGATCTGCGATATCTCGAAGGATCCAATTTCGCAAAATTATGAGCCTGGTAGCTACGATTTAGTGATTGCTTCACACGTACTCCACGCAACGAACAAACTTGCTGAATCGATTCAAAACATTCGAAAACTCCTCAAAACTGGCGGCAAGCTGCTTCTCTTTGAGACGACACGTCCAGATGCGATCCCTGTCGGCTTTGCATTTGGCCTCTTGAAGGGTTGGTGGGACCCGCTTGACTACGAGCCTCGGTCACCATACAGCCCATGCTTGACAGTTGAGCAGTGGGACATGCTCTTGAAGCAAGGAGGATTTTCCGGTGTAGATTTGGACATCCCAGGACAGGAAGAACCATACAGTCGAGATAGCAGTATTATCATCTCGACTGCTGAGAGCCAGAACGACGAAATAAAGCAGCCTCTGTGTGAGGTGAATCTTGTTGTGAACAACCATGTAGAGGCTCAATCCCTGATGGCAAGGACCCTCGAGAATGGGCTATCTAGAAGTGAACGTCTCTTATGGAAACGATACTCTCTGGCGCAACTTGCTGAAGCGAAAATTCCCGAGTCCGCTTTGACAATATTCCTTGAAGAAATAGACGCGACCTTCCTTGAGGGGATCTCGGAAATAGATTATGCTAGCTTTCAAACCATTTTGGTACGGTCCAAAACAGTCCTATGGGTCGCCAAAGCACTGCCACCTGGAGGAATTGAACCCAGACATCACCTTGCCCATGGGCTGGGTCGCACCCTAATGTCTGAAGATTCAGACTATAAATTTGTTACACTATGTTTCGAAGATTTCGAGTTTGATGTTACCCAGGCGACTGAAACAATCTACAAGATCGTGGGATACCTTCGTAGCTTGCCAGTGGAGAAGGTCGAAACTAATTACGTTGCTACTCATAATACTCTCCAGATATGCCGCATTTCAGAAAATGTCGAGATGGATACTATTGTTCAACAGGCAAACCTACCATGGCAAGTGCAAGAGTGCCAACTGACTGTTAAAAAAATGTTCAACTTTGCAAAGGTGAGCTTGGCCGTCTGGATTCGATCCAGTGGCTTGAAAGCGAAGAACAGGAAGCCTCAGGTAAACAGCCTTTAGATGATGACGAGGTTATGGTGCAAGTACGGGCCATAGGGTTAACATTCAGAGACTATCTAATAGTCAATGGCCAGCTTAACGAAGCTGAAATAGGCACTGAGTGTGCTGGATTGGTTATGGAGGCTGGAAGTAAATCCGGATTTCAGACCGGCGACCGGGTCTGCCTCATTTCGACGGCTTCAGCACGGTCTATCATCAGAGGCAAAGCAGGCGCTATTGTCGCTATTCCGTCACATATGAGTTTCGCCGAGGCAGCATCATTGCCTACTGCACTGTGGGTATCTTACCAAGCCATTGTCAACCTAGCAAATTTACAGAGTGGTCAGACTGTGCTCATTCATCAAGGGGCGAGTTGTGTGGGACAGATGATGATTCAGACGGCAAAAAAACTAGGCGCACGTGTGCTTGCCACTACCAGCTCCATGTTTGGGAGGAAGTTCATCTACGACGAATTTCAAATTCCGGAAGCGGATATTTTCTGTGCTAGCGACGCTACAATTGTACTTGAGATAAACCGGTGTACTCAAGGACAGGGAGTCGACGCTATTGTTGGGGCGCTCTCGGCAAACGGCGCAGGCGAGACTGTGGATTTAGTACCATGTCTGTCACCTTCCGGTCGACTTGTTGATACCAGTTCATTGAACGGATCCTCCGGTATTGTTATGCCCTTGAATACGTCAAGGTCATCAGTCAATATGATTAGCCTACTGCAGGAGAGGCCGACCCTAGCTCACGATATCTTTCAACGGGCAATGAAAAAAGCGTTTGATGAACGACTTCGACCACCACAGCCAATTCGAAGTTTCTCAGCAGCCGACGCCGGAAAAGCCTTCCGTCAGTTCCAAGTCTCAGATGCGCTGGGTAAAAATATTATCGAGCTTAATTCGGATACTATTGTTATGGTAAGTTGAGAGATGCTGCTCGAGTAAATAATTAGCATTAATCTTTTGTTCTTAGGCCAATGTCAAGACAATTCCCCGGTGCAAGCTCTATCCCGATGCCACTTACGTTATTAGTGGAGGGTTGGGTGGACTTGGGAGGAGTATTGCACGGTGGATGGTTGACCGCGGAGCACGAAATCTCATTCTCCTCTCACGATCCGGCGTAAAATCGCAGGCAGCCAAAGATCTTATCAGATACCTTGAGGGGAGGCACATATGTGTCGTGACGCCCGCCGTCGATATCAGCGACCTGGTTACACTTAGGCATGTCCTTAAGACTTTGGAAAAGACCATGCCTCCAATCCGGGGCTGCATTCAAGCTACGGTAGCTCTCAGGGTGTGTATTCCTCGCTCAAAATTTATTGTTAGGGTACCTACTAAAAAAACAATTCCATTCTAGGATAACCTTTTCCCTAACATGACGTATCATGATTGGATCGTTGGCACAAATTCTAAAGCGAAGGGTTCCTGGAATCTGCATTCTGTACTCCCTTCTGGCCTCGACTTCTTCGTACTCCTTGCTTCCTTGAATGGTATTTTGGGAGGACGTGCACAAGCCAATTATGCGGCCGGCAACACATTCAAAGACGCGCTCGCTCACTACCGCATTTCTCTCGGCGAGAAAGCAATATCCATCGACTTAGGGCTAATGGCCACCGAAGGCATTGTCGCAGAAAATGCTGACCTACTTGCTAGTATGCGTCGCATCGGACATCTTATGGATATTAACCAGGGAGAACTGGTTGCCCTGTTAGACTATTACTGCGACTCCGCGCTGCCGATATTATCACATGATAAAGCACAAATTCTGGTCGGGCTTGAGACACCTAGCGCAGTACGTGCAAAGGGCATAGATATTCATCATGCCATTCACAGGCCATTATTCCAGCAGCTGTTCAGCCTAGATTCGGGCAGTTTGCAATCATCGGGCCAGCAAGCAACCATCAGCTATGCTGCGGTCCTGAAAGAGGCCACGTCGAGAGAGGAGGCCTCAGTAATGGTGACGGGGTGGTTACAGGCCAAGATCGCGCATACTCTGGGCCTGCAAGAGGAAGACGTTGATCCAACAAAACCAATCCATACATATGGTATCGACTCGTTGGTGGCGATTGACTTGAAAAACTGGTTTTCAAAGGAGATAGGAGCGGATATACAGGTATTCCTTATGCTAGGAAACCAAACCTTGGAAGCAGTAGCAAGAGAAGCGGTAAAAGGAAGTAAGTTTATGGTACGGTTTGACACAAAATAACTTTCTGTCAGATTAGTCAGCACTGTCAGGTGACCTGAAATCTCTGATTCCCCTGTAATTACTCGCGTTCCACGCGTCCTCACGATCTCACACACTGACAACAACATACAATAAGATCATCAGTAATTACATCAATATTGCCTTGAATCATCACCTAATCGTGCGTACCGATTGTTTGACACTTTCTTAATGAATGAAGCACGGGACACGGTTATCTATCAGATAGGTACCGCGGGACATAGAAAGTACAACCGGAGTTTAGCCTATGTACATGTTGGTGTAGTGTAGGTACTTATCTTAGAACTTCGCTCAGTTAATACACTAACTAAACATTAAGGTCTGTAATTCATCAACTTCTTATTTGGTCTGAGGATTGCCAGTTATAAATGGTGGGAGCTTTTTGTTTCGGTTTCATCGCGGGGTGCCATAATTTGATTGAGAGTGACAAAAAGAAACGGCTTTCCTACCCAAGTAGGTGGGAAAAACAGACTGATAATAGTACCTACCTACCTACAGGTAGGTACGTAAGCCACTAAAAGGTTGACCGTACAGGCCAAGGAACCTTATACCTTAGGTACCTAACTAAGGTAAGATCACATCGTTTACAAGATTGACGACAGCCTCAAACGCGGGAATTTGTAGCTGCATACCTAGGTCACATAAGAGGTCCTTTCAATTGTCTTTGTTATTTTTTGAAGCTGCATAGATTTAGGTTAGGCCTTAGTACGCTGGTACTTAATGGCAATATTTCCACTTTAATTACTTCCTCGTCTTCATCAAAACTACTTGGTGTCTGGGTCAGTATGGATCCCCTCGCGTCGATCAACCCATATGTATCACTCAAAGAAGGGCCACAGTTGGGCCAAGTCTATCAAAATCTACCTGCTAAGAGTGCCCGTTTCCTACGGTATAGGGGAACAGAGAAATCAGCGGAGACTCCTGAACAGCTCCTTGTATTCGATTTTGAGGTTCATCAGGTTCAAGATGCTAAGTCTCAATACTCAGCCTTATCTTACACATGGGGTCATCCGATACTCGATAACTTCAAAGATGACTATTCGCACGCGATAGTTTGCAGCGGCCGACGTATGCCGATTGGTATAAACTTGAACGACGCCCTTCGGCATGTTTACTTGGAGTCGGATATTGCCCCGCCACTCTTCTGGGTAGACGCTGTCTGTATTAACCAAAGCGACCTCGTGGAACGAGCTGAGCAGGTTACCCTCATGACTAGTATCTACTTCAACGCCGCTAATGTTGTTGTGTGGCTGGGGAAGGACGATGGGGACGCGCACGAAGCCTATTCACTCTTGTCTGAGTACACGCCTGCCCTTAGAAATATTGCATCGGACTTGATCTCGGCGAATCCTGATCGCGGGATAGGAGCGGGAGTAGTCAACTTGTACGACGACGAGAAGCTACATGAAAAATATCATCTCACGCCAAGAAGCATGGATTCATGGACCACGCTCGTGAGATTTCTGTCTCGAAGGTGGTTTGGCCGCATTTGGATCGTGCAAGAGATGGTATTCAACCAGTCGCATTTGATCTGCTGTGGTCCCCTACGCTTCAACTGGAAGGAATTGGATAGTTTCGTCGGCTTCGTCTTCGGCGCACAGTGGCATGGGATGAACTTTCATGGGCTTGAACGAGATACGGCGAGGATTGCACGTACTTTCACATTCCATCGTGAGATTCGCTTATCGGGAAGCGAGTACTTGAACGACGACCCAAAGTTCAGTCTCCTAAGCCCTGAAGGAAAGCTGTATGATTTTGCACAGAGCTACCTCCTTTCATCCGCTTTCTTGGAAGCAACAGATCCCCGTGACAGGGTATTTGCGTTATCCGCATTTGTTAATTCATATGCGGCTAAGGTAAACGTCAAGCCTATATGGCTTAAGGCGGACTACTCTCTTCAGACAGCGGAAGTTATGCTACGTACTGCACAGCTATTACTGTGGAAGACACGATCCCTGGACATGCTTTCATATGTTTCTGATCTCAGCTGTCGGGTACAGTCCGACTTACCATCTTGGATGCCACACTTTCACGTCCCCGGAGCTGTTGCATCCGTAGAGTCTTTGCTTGATATGCACCAGGGTAGGAAGTTCCACGCTGGTAACTTGTCGTCGACAGTGCCCACATTCTCTGACATCTACCTACACATGGATTCGGCAGGCCATGAGTTAGAGACCCAGGGGTACCTCCTAGATACCGTGGAAGAGATTATCCTCTTCGAGTCGGGTCTCCTCTCCCTCTTAGAAGTTTGTCTTAACTTACCGCATACATACGCAAATGGACAGTCGCCGGTTGAGGTACTCTGGCGGACTCTCATTGCTGGAAGAACAGACACGGCGTTTCCTGCACCAGAAGAAACAGCAAGAGACTTCGCCCAATTCGTCAAAGCTGGTCTCATAGGAATCGCTCTAGATGCACTTGGGACCGGAAATAAAGAGTTACTAACAAGGCTTATCGTGGTTTTGGGGGGAATAGAATCAAGATGCCCGCACCCCTCAGTCCCGACCGTCGGAGAGTTTAATGACATATTGAGTAATGTTTTAGGAGATCTCGATGGTTGTATCAAAATGCTGACGGATCTACGCTCTAATTGCACATATCGGACTATGATCTCCCCTACACATTGGGGCCAAAAAGGCAAAGCCTTGTTTCGTAGTCGCAAGGGCTTTCTAGGATTGTCGCCACATTCGACTCGAACAGGGGATGAGGTGTGGCTATTAAAGGGGGCGAGCTTGTTCCACATGTTGAGGGGTGATGATGGCACATCGGCAGGGAAGATATTGTTAGGAGAGGGATATGTTCACGGTTTTATGGAAGGAGAAGCTTTGAGGCTAGATGGAATTAATTATCGTTCCGTAATTATAAAGTGAGTTACGCCTATATAGTTGGTAGATCACTTAGTTATAGCGTGGTAAGCAGTGGTTTAAGGAAGATAACCTATTTGTCAATCGTATCATTAACATACCCCTTACTTTTTATGATATCCGCAGTGGCCAATATCTGACTATGATACGACAGCAAAAAACGTTACATGTGAATTATGATTGGATTATTCGACTATACTAAACAGCTACATCGAAAAAGCGAAGTAGATACGAAGTACCCTATAACTCGTCTATAACTCGTGGTTGATAGATTCTACGATCTTAGAACGATAGTTCGTGGATACGTGAGACATCTGTGTGTTACCCTCTAATAACTAATAATTTTGCTCATATTCTATAAATTCCCTTGTGATAACTCCCTAGTAGTCATCCTGTGTGCATGTTTCAATGCTAACATAGTTAGAAACAGGAGTAATCTTTGGTTTATGTATCCCATCAGCTATTACGTGTCTAGCACTGCTTACCAGGTCTATGACATGTCACTCGTAACTTTGAGGCTGATCTGAATTTGTCATTAAATAAAAAGCAATATCTGCTTGCCTGCTTGTAGCCTACCTAGGTAAGCGATCAACGGGTGGAAAATAAGAGAGAGTACAGAAGAGGACAGTAGGACAACAAAGATTTCTCTCTAGCCTTGTGACTGTACTCTACGATCACGATTTGGAAGGATCATGACCCTGTAGCGCTAATAAATAGGTAGGTATTCTTAGGTGTAGCTGGTAGATCATACACATCCAAATAGCGGCTATGAGTAACACAGCCGCCGAGAGCTAAAACACGTAAGCTTTATTATCTCTTAAAGATCACCATATCGCCGTCTTCACCGATCGAATATCTTCTTCCAAACCCCCGAGCGTCTCGGATCTATGTCCAAGGTTGAATGCGTATGGTGCAACGAGGCGCGTTACACGACAGATGAATTTCTAAAGTCGATATAAAGACGAAAGTGGATGTACGGTTAAGATGGAGAAGGGAATCGACAGAAATTCTCAAATAACCACACCTTGAGCTTTTAATGGCAAATTAGATCTTCAAACTTCGCAATGCCTATTGACCGATCCGGGCAAGGCGGCAGAGGGTATGGCCGGTCAAGTCCAACAACTTGCGGCACACGCTCTAGGTGAGAACACCGCAATCGTTGCCACACAAGTAGCGGCTGCAGATGCCACTGCCTACCACGCGGGCATGATTGAGGCGAAAATAATAGAAGAACACTTAAGAAACGAGGCGACAGAAGCTGCGTTAGTAGCTCTTACGAATCCACCCCAAGAACCGAAGTCTGGATGCTCGCGTACAAAAGTTGTTGGACAACTGGGCTGTGACAGATGCAGAAAATCCATCGGAGCAGGGAATTGTTACTGGCGTAAGTTTTTTTCATATGAAAGTACTGAACGTGTCTTGACTAATTCGTATGACACTTAGACTGTTGCGACTGCGACTACGACAATTATGATATCTGCCTCAAGTGCAAAATAAAAGATATCGGCTGCAAGAGTCGAAGTCACACTTTGAGGAAGCTCTAGGTCCCAACTTAATCGAAATAGGAGCGTGCGTCGTCTCAATTGATGTGGTCTGACATTATCATGTCTATTCATTAGTTGTCTTGGGATTATACGCAGTATATCCTGAAATGTTTCTTGGATAATGATTGTATGAGTTCGGTATAACTTTTGCATGATGAGGATATACGTATAAACATATATAGGTTTCTGTGGGAGGAATACCATTTTAGGATGCTCATAATGGGTGGCTCCTTGATAGGGGACGGGAGTATAGACCAGTACAAATTGTAGACAGCATCGGATTCCATGAGGTTCAGTCTCTGACAATTTAGCAGATCCATATTCTCGAGGGCTTATGTATTAGAAGGCATTCCGCTAATCTATCCCGAATAAAAAGGGTTATCTACTACGCCATATCTACCATGACCTTGATAACCAAATCCCCCTTTTCGTCTTTTACTTTAGCGGCCGTGTCAAAAGCGCCAGGCATATCGCTAAGGCCTCGAAATCGGTGAGTAACGAGTTTCAGAACGTCAGGCAACACTTTGTTCCCGCTTGCAAGTAGCTCGATGGCTTCGCGATATGCGTTGGCGTATCGGAACACTCCGACTAAGTCAACTTCCTTGAGAGACGCAGCCATTATGGGTAGCGTTTGAACCGGCATACCCATACCAATAATCATCACCTTGCCCCCGGGTTTCGTTGCCTTCAATCCTCATTAGCTGTGCTATAGAAGAGATCGTACAGAAAAGGAGAAATCTTACATATATAGCCGCCTGCATGCACGACTCAACACCTGTGCACTCGAAGGTTACATTTACGTCACCAACGACATCAACTCCCCCTTTGACCTTCAGTGACTTCAGCTTCTCAGCTAGATCTTGTGCATATGCCAATTTATCTTCGATAGTTTCGGGTCTCTGAGTTGAGATCGGTACCGTGAATGCGGCGTCGGCGAATCCGTTGTCGACAGCGAACTTGACGCGGTCCTCGAGTATATCCGCTATCACAACGGTCTTGGCTCCGGCTACTTTGCTAACGGCCGCGCAAAGCAGACCTACGGTACCAGCACCCAAGATCAGAACGGTTGATCCAGATTTTAGTCCGGCACGATTCCGGGCATGTATCGCAACAGACAGGGGTTCTACGAGAGCCCCATGCTCTAAGGATAAAGTATCTGGTAGTCTAAAAGGAATAGAATATTAGAAATTTAGATAAGAGTCGATGTTATAAGAGTGTAGTTATCACGGTAATTAGGTATCTTATAGTATTTTTAACATACTTATGGCACCATCTTGCCGGGTGGTTAATCCTATCCTGGAGCGTCCCTTGCGCGTGCGGGAAAGCCTTGGCGGAGCTGCGGAAGCTCATGCCGCGGCAGATGTTGTAACGGCCTCCGCGACATAGATCGCAGACCTCACAGGGCAGACCGACTTCGAGGGCGACGCGGTCGCCGACCTTTATGGATTGTGCAGAGGAATAGCCCTCGCCTACCGCAACAACGGTACCAGCTGACTCGTGGCCTAAAGTTATCGGCTCACGCACCTCGATCGGTCCATTCCGAAAATGTCGGAAGTAGTGCAGGTCCGAGCCGCAAAGGCCGGTCATCTGCACGGCTACTTGGACTTCATCGGAGGCCGGTTTGGGTAGCTGTCGGGCTTCCTGTAATACGCGTTAATGGAGATTCTTTGAACCCGTGTTTTGCTTCGGGCCTATTCCGAAAATAAAGCTTACAACTCGGAGATCTCTCGCTCCATGGAGGACGGATGCTTTGATATCACTGGTCATTGTTCCTCTGTGTTGCGTTTTCGTTCAGTACATAAAAATTATCTTAGAAAATAAACTTAATAGGCTTTTAACGAATTGTTGTGGGATTCTAGCCAGTTAGAGATGGTTCAATCAAAGAAACACCATAGGAGAAGGCGAGGAATTGTGAAGCAATACATTAACTACGTATTCATCACCAGTATTGAAAATTGACATGCCCTAGGTACCTTAGGTAAATAATCATACACTTACAGTAGGTACTTACCCCGACCCTAGCCTACATGACTTCGGTGTGATCGTGGAAAGAACTATGGCTATACAGAATACCCCTTAGCGGCGGAAGAGACATGTACATAGGATATGCAGGTAGTGTGCCCCTGATCCATGTAATAGAGAGCATGCTGAGCGTGCATCGTCGGTCCACTGTGGGGAGAACCCGCAATAGTCGCCTTCGTTTTGTCCAAAGCCGGCGAAGTATACCCGGTTCGGAGGAAATAGTCGTTTCTGGCCAAACGGTGTTCGTGGGAAATATTTCTTACCCCAATCTTCATCTCCATTTACCCCGCCTAGACATTCTCAAGTGAAAGATGAGGGGGAATTATAAGGGGCCGAGTTATCACCGACTAACATCATGAGACCGGAGAAAATATGTCAAGGCAATTCATGAATGCTATATTCGTCTACTTGGTTTTCACAGTTGCTCTTCGCTGAGTTTAACCAAATTGGCTATCTAGCTAGAATGAGGTAGGAATATGTAGAGCAGTAGTGTCATTAAGGGATCGCCCTAACGTATAAACTGTAGATGTTCTCTTCGATGATCTATTATAGCTCCGAATACGGAAAGGCGATAAAGTCTCTATGCTCGTATTGGAGGGGCAATCTCTTCATCTGATATCCAACCTCGAACTTACCAAGAGGATGGGATAGCACTAGTAGCATACGGGATAGTATAATTATTTTTGGTTTAGGTTTACTGTGACATGATCTTTTAAACTCCTCTGTACAATCGATAGCACAACCGAGCATCCCCCAACATGACAGACGCATTATTCTCGCTCAAGGGCGAGACAGCTCTTATCACTGGCGGCACAAGGGGCATTGGACAGGCCGTAGCCGTTGGGCTTGCTGAGGCGGGCGCTGATATAATCTTAGTCCAAGTATGTAATTGTTAGAGAGGTAACTATCATCTCGATCAAAGCTAATCTCAACAAAGCGGTCTACTGCGTCGACCGAGACCAAGGATGCCGTCGAAGCCGTCGGTCGTAAAGCCCATATCTACACAGCGGATCTCGCGAACGCAGAAGACGTAGCAGGTTTGGTCCCGCGAATCCTAGCAGATGGGCATACGATACGGATCTTGGTAAACTGCGCGGGCATTCAGATTCGCCATGCACCCGAAGCCTTCCCCGACGCCGACTATCGCGCAGTAATGGGCGTAAACGCGGACACCGTATTCACATTAACTCGTGACGCGGGCGCACATATGCTAGGCCTCGAACCCTCCCCAGTTACGGGCCGTCGCGGTAGTATAATTAACTTCGCGAGCCTGCTCTCGTTCCAAGGCGGGCTAAATGTACCCGCGTACGCAGCAAGCAAGGGCGCCGTAATACAGATGACTAAAGCCTTTGCGAACTCGTGGACGGAGAAGGGTATTAATGTTAACGCTGTGGCGCCTGGGTATATCGCGACGGATATGAATACGGCGCTGATCAATGACCAAGAGAGAGCGGCGAGCATTAGCGCAAGGATTCCGGCTGGGCGTTGGGGAGATCCGGATGATTTCAAGGGAAGCGCTGTGTTTCTAGCTGGCAAGGCGAGCGCGTATGTGAGTGGACATACACTGGTTGTTGATGGCGGATGGATGGGTCGGTAGAGAACGGAGTGACGAATAGTAAGAGAATGCTTAATGGATTGCCTTAATATATTTTATTCTTACAATAGTCATACTATCATAGCAGTCATAAACATTGAAAAACCCTAGAACGCCCGAATACAAATCGAAGCACCTAACGACGCACAATACAAATAATATAACATCACTTCATCACTTCGCAGAAGCCATCACTTGTTCCATCCAGGGATATACTGATGCATTCGCCATGGGATATCCCATATGTAACGCACCGGTGAAGAAACGCGCCTCCTTAGGCGACCCATACTCGAACAACAGCATAGAATCCTCAATCGGCATAAGCCCGTCGTGCGTTCCCTATTACTACTGTTAGCACACATTCATATTCAACATTTGAAATCAAAGGTGTAAGCAAAAGAAGAAGAAGACAAGCGTACGTTAACAAGAAGTAACCTCGTACTCGGCATCCCCAGGATCCCCGTCTCTAATAGCGAAAACCTCCCCTGCGAGCCCTCAAGATATGCCTCGACATCGTCGCCGTATCCGTACTTCATGGCCAGTGCTGGAATAAGCTTAAACGGGTACTCGTGACCATCAGCCTTGGCAAGCCATTCGCGAGCGAAGAAATGGTGCGTGCCGGCACCGTGCGCGACGACTCCTAGTAGTTTGTCGCGGTGCGTATGTGCCGCCCGCACTGCGTAGTATCCTCCGCTGCTTAGTCCCCAGCACAACACGCGCCCTAAGTCGAACCGCCCGTCAGAGGCTAACCACGCGAACAGGCTATCAAGTAGCCGGTCCGGCGAGTTCGGGTCCGCAGGATCTGCCGGGCAATCGGCCGTGCCTGGAATCTCGAGCACGACAGCGGCCCACCCGCGCGAGAGGAACTCGTCGCATCGCGCTGTGTTGTCAGGGCGGTAGCCATCGAGACCCGTGAAGAGGATGACTGCGGGGTGCTTCGAGTTGCCGTTGGATAGAGAGGGCGGTACTCGGACATATGCTGGGATGGTGTTACGGTCGCGTCCCTTAGCGAACGTATGTGGGATCGAGACCTCGGATAGAGGGGATGGTGACCACAAGGATCCAGCTTTACGGTATATCGCTTTCTGTAGCTCCCAGGCCTCCCACTTGACGGGATCGTTAGCGTGCGGGAAGCCTGTGATATACGGAAATCGAGCGATACGTAGGATACACGCGGCGCGCAGGTACAACCGCGACGCCTCTTTCTTACCCTCCTCGCTTCCTTGAGCAGCGTTCTCATCGCCGCGTTGCTCAAGAGCCTGTGCCGTAGGAATAAATGCTTGCGTGTACTCGGTCGAAGTCCCATCGTTAACGTCCCGAGCAATCAGATCTAGAAATACAGGCTCGAAATCCTCGAAGGCGCCGTCGTGAAAAGGGTACACCGACCGCCGGCAGGGCTCGCGCCACTTAGTCTCCCACAGCGCACGGATTCCATCATGATGCGGCATGTGACGCTCGAAAGCCTCCGCACCCATGAGCCATTGTTGCGGCGCGGGTCGGGACTTGGCGATAGCATCTGGCGCCATTGCGCAGGGGAGGGGCGCGGAAGGAGTTAGTAGTTGGAGCTGAAGCTCGCTGACCGCGAGGACAACGTCTCGTCGATGAGCGTGAAGCTGCTATCTTGGGGATCCTCCTCGAATTCTACCGGAGTGTACTCGGTCTGTTTCCGCGAGCCAAGCCGTGAAAGGTGGATGCGGCCGTTGCGCTTCCGGACTACGACACGACGACTAGTATACCAGTCCTTTTTCTCGCGGACCCTGTGTTTGCATGTTAATTGGTTATGTTTCTCGAGGGTATCTTAATGTAAGTATGCGGCACATGGAGCTTGAAGGATGCTGAAACATTCCATAGGAGTTCTCGTCTTGGAATGTCTTGAGTTTCTATAATTGGGGTTTAGAGTCACTTGACACCAAATAGCTACGCCTTCTCGAGTAGAACCGCTAGGGATTAGAGGAAGACTTGGCTAGAACTTACTCTCGTTGAAGCAGGGCTATATTGGCTCTGATTAGGGCGTTGCGAAGGTCATGATCAACAATCATGTTCGCGTTACTCGGGTAAGACATTGCTTATTTAACAAGATGGAAGATGGAAGATGGAGAGGGGCCGATGGGGATATCCGAGTGAGTCCGGTCTTGTGCAGGACCAGGTAGACAGGTTAGCGAAAGCGAGAATTCCAATACTAAAATATACAGCGGATATAAAGAGGAAATGAGTAAAAAAACAATTCAAAGGAGATCGAATCGAAATATATGCCGTCAGCGTTTATTGAAGTTCAGTCTTTCTAGGAGGGCGAGCGAGGTGAGACGGCATAGCTTTATAGCCATCAGTCTTACAAGCTGGAACGAATCTGGTAGTTGGATATAATATTCTATGTGGAGTAAGAGGAATATACCCGTGTATGTATTTGGTCGTTCCTACGCCGCTCTGTTGTATCTGAGTAAGCCCCGGTCAACTCGTATGAGCGCATTGCAGTAAGATGCCAAGGACGGTTTGGATTGGACGGGAAGCTAATTCGAGTCTCGGCGATACTCAGCAAGTGGATGTCATAACGTCCGACCAGCTCGTTACCGGACCACCCACCAACCCGAATGAGAAGGCCATATTGAGGGCTTAGTGCAGGAGTAGGATTGTCAAGCTTCGTCGACTAAGCTTCGTCACTCCATGACGAAATCGAAGTCTCCTGTTGGCTGCTTTCTCTCTCATATATTTTGTTTCACTTGTCTTTAAATTTAGACTCTATACTCTATCCAGCAAACAACCTTCCCGGAAGGCAGAACGTTGTTTGTCTGTTAGCATCCGAACTCTATAACCTTGCTCTAGTATATTATATCCTATCCCTTTTGTGATTCGTGGCTTCTTCCGAGAGGACCATCTTATTAACCTAAATCTTCGGCTCTACCAAACGTCTCGGAGTCAGCCGAGGTACCAAGAGCAAGAGCAAGAGCAAGAGCAAGAGAAAGAACAAGCGCGAGTGCATATATTATGCTCACTGTTGCTTGTCCTCTTCTCACTGGGCCTTACTCTTATCGCTGTTATAGTAATGGGCCATTTCCAAACCGGCCCTTCGGAATCCACATTTTACGTAGAACCCTTCGTTTGCTTCGCTGCAATCGAGGATAGTCTTATAGCAGCCGACCTTCTCCGCGATGAAGTCGAGCGCTTGGATTAGACGAAGGCCGAGCTTCTTGCCTTGTTGATCCTTTGCGACGGCGATATCTTCGATGTGGCCGACTAGGCCAAGGCTATGGATGCTATTGAAGGGGGAATTCATCGTATCAGCAGTTACTCTTCATTACCTAAGGGAAACTAGCTAGCCCTTGACTATCCGCCGACCAAATTGTGCATTTCCAATTGGCGGCGGGGTAGGGAACTTCTTACAATTTCCTTTCTACAAGTAGAGCTCCAGTCCCTACAATCTTCCCCCTCGATGTGTCCTCGATGACAAGGACATAGTACGTGTCTTGCGATGACATCCACTGGTATCTTTCGGCAAACTGCTCTTTGCTAATCTCGCCTACGGTCGTCAGAACACGTAGACAGTCGAGGAAACCCGCATCGTAATCGGACAATCGCAGGGAGCGGGCCGTGTAGCCTTCTGGGAGAGCAGCAGAAACGCTAGGAGAGATGAGGTCGGACGAGAAAAGGCCTTGTTCAGCCATTGCGAATTGTGAATTGCGAATTGTGAATTGTGAACAGCGGGTCTGTATTCCGTGTGTCGTCTCGAGTTGGTAGAAAACGAATGTATAAACAACGAGCGAAGTCGAAACGAATAGGTGCGATTCTAGAGTAGAAACGATTGATAATAAATACCTACGTAGGTAGGTAAAGAAGGGAGGTTGGAGATAACTTCTCTCTTCTTACTTGGCGTTAGGTTGGTAGTAAAATAACAAGGCCGTCGACGATGAAGAATACGAAGAAATCGGAATCTGGGATGAGCCTGGAAATTCCCTCTAAGACCCCTGATTAGATACTTGATTAGGTACATGCTCTAAGCTAGGGGACTTTTCAGGGTGCTTAGCCTCAATTGATTGGTCCTAAGCCCCTAGCAATACCCCTAATGATAGCCGGCTGGGACTGCTGCATAGCCTACATGGGAGCTGAACAGCTGGTAACTCACGAAAAGCTTGAGAGCACTAATAATAGAAGCCTCGGGTGCTAGCCTCAAATCAGGTACGGGAATGAGATACAGGTACATACCTTATGTACCTACAGATGGCCTGCAGCAACATATGCACATTAGGTACCCTCTGGATCATGACTGCTGACATCATTCCATTCATTTGAGTTCAAGGCTTGCAAACTTTAGGTACCTAGGTAGGTAGGTCAATAATCTAGCACTGAAGCTGGGAATGAACCGACTGATTTCAATAGAATGCACAAAACGTTGGGTGTCCGTATTTGTGTAACTTAAATTCTCTCTTTTCCAAAGTTCGAGCAAAGATTTCCCCTTTTCACATTCCTCGGCCATACATACATACCCTGCCCTTCATCTTTCATTTGGTCTGTCCATATTTACCCAATCAACCTGCTAGGTCTAATCCGTGAGATATGCACCATAACGAGGTGCTGCCACGTTTGAGGATGAAATCGCGATTTCGTACCTGTATTCAACTTGTTCTAGACTATTTTCACTTTATTCAAGGGCAGATGACTCAACATGACTCGATTGACGCGACCTTTGAGATGACGTGGACAAGCCTCGGTCCCCTGGTTCCTGCATCTTCTCTACTACATATATCGCTTCGCTTCCTAGGTATAATGGAAGATATCGGAAACCGACCGGGTTGACGGGGGGGAAAGGGACGAAGGCGTCTAGGGTGCAAACACGTTTCCATCTGTTCGGCGTCGAGCGTGCCTAGGTAAGTATAGTACACAAACAACTATAAAAATATGAAACTTCTTAACTACCATAGCGGCAAAGGGTGGTTTTGAGAAACGGTTATTAGACATAAAAATTATTTTATACCTAAAAATCATTTTTTAATAAATAATTATTATTAGCTAAAAAGTATTTACTTATTTAATTTATATAAAAAAATATAAATATTAAATATAATATTTATATTAATAATTGTTTATATTTAAGTAATATATTTTAAAATTT